CCGCTACACCACGGAAACCGGTTGAGACGTCGTCCTGTCTATTTTCTGTCCCTTCTACGTTTTGATGTTTCTTCTCTACCCCAGTCTCAGGTTGATTCAATATGGTTAAGCGTTTCATGACTCCTTTAATATTGAAGCTGCACTCCATAGGCGAAAGGAAGAATGATTTTGGAAGCCTTGTTAACTTGTTTGTTTGAAGTTGCCATTCATTGTTTGTTCAATACGTGCGTTCTCACTAATAAATTGGACTGCGGTCTTCATTTACCTACACTGCGCTTCGTCAGTGGTCGTTGATATATATATAGAGGGTAACCCAAGTCACCAGGCTCGCAGTCACCAGTCGCTCAAGTCACCAGGCTAGCAGAGCCTCCGTCGACGCCTTGCAGGCTTTGCTAGCCGTGCTCGTCGTGCTGGCCGTGTGGAGCCGCAGGGCGATATGCATTGTTTGTTTAGACGAAAATATAGCTATCCAACTTCAAGAACAGTTTCATTACGTTCTTCTTTCTTCTCTTCGCGGGAATCGGGCGGGGGTTAGGATCCACGCGCCATTTTGGGTCGGAGGCGCCCGGCCCGGATGGGCAAGAGCGGGATCTGACAGGCATAGTGTAGAGGAAGCGTTGTCTCCACCCGCATTTTGGACAGAGGAAATCACCACGTACCCCATAAAGGACCATGAATAAATAAGAGCACGCTTCCCATGCCTAAATTCAAACTGGGCCTCAAGGCTAATAACATGGTACATTTTTAGCCCCCTAGCGGTTTCAAGTTTGTGTAACAATGTTAAAATTCCTCCGAGTTCTCATGTAAACATGCTTAGTGCCCTGTGTGAGAACTATTGCGTATGTTCATCACCAGTTCTACCAGGCTTATTAGTATTCTGTCCTCTGTGAATAAGCTGAACTTCCTCTGGACTTTTATTTATGCCCAGCGAGTTTTCTGGTCAATATAAATGTATTTTTTAAATCACGTCAGAATTTTTGAACTCTAAATTTACTTTTTGCACTTAAACCCCTTTCTAGATTTTTTTTTATTTTTTTTTTACTTATTTATTTTTTTGGCCTTGGAGACTGTGACAAATCTCTGATCCGGTTCGGAGCCAAAAAAATTTTGAGGCCCCTCGTTCAATTTGAGCTTGTGGGCGAGGGTGAGGGTGTGGACGCTTGAGCTTCACATTAGCTGAACTGGGCAACGTCGTGGAATTAAGGAAAAGTAAGTAATTTCGAACTGAAGATGTCAACTTCACGGAATAGAAGGAAAAGCTTGTAGTGTTTTTTTTTTTTTGGTCTTTTGTGCCTTTTGGCACTTTCCGTTTTGTAGATTCTTTCATATATTTACATTCTATGTAATACATTTTTTCGTATTGTGTTTCACAATTCCTTATATCTAAAGTAACAAAAAAAAAAAAAAAAGGGGGGGGGGGGGGGGGGGGGGGCTCTTGGTGGTGCGCATCGTAATCAAAAGCGAAACTGAACCAACAACAACAATAAAACAACAACCGCATCTCCACGTGGTGAATGATGTTGATATGGGCGAAGCTCTGGTGGTGCTTGTCTGCGTAAACACTGAGCCGCAGCATGCCGAGCCTTTCGTTCGTTTTCATCCATGTCACGCTGCGGTCACATGCTCAAATGCGTATATAACCACGTTCCATACCACACATGCTCTTTCTGACATAGATGAAAACGACCGAAAGGCTCGGCATGCTGCGGCTCACTGTCTACGCAGACAAGCACCACCAGAGCTTCGCCCCAATCAACATCATTCACCACGTAAAAATGTTTTTTTTTTTTTTTTTTTTGTGTTTTAACACGAGCATGGGAGCACGTGCTCACGTGCTCGTGAGCACGACCACCCGACGCCGGACATCGGACGGACATACGGACATGGCAAGCCCCTAAGGAGCTTAGCCCCTAAAAAAAGCGCGCTTTTGTTGATACGGCATTGATCCTACCTATGATACAAAAACGAGCGATGCTGGCAGGCAAATTGATACGCGATCGACTCGTTGCCGATAAAACTGTTAAATAACTTTTTTTTTTTTTTTTTTTTTTTTTACGACATGAATTATTGTATGCCGACAGCTTACGAATTATCCTTACGAAAGCTGGATATTCGAAACAAGAACCAACAACACGCAACAAAAATAAACATCTTGGCTACGGGAGCCAACAGAAGCCAAAGAGTTGTTTTTTCCGCCTTTTTCGGCCAGAGTTTCGACTCTCAGCTGATAACACTGTGTAGTCACCTGTCTGCCGTTTTTCTTCGCAGCTGACTGGTCGGAGTGAGTGAGTTCCCGCTCGTTGGTTCAGTGTTTTCAGCGGCATTTCATCTCCTCCATGGTCCTTTCGCACCGAAATTGACTCATTCACGATCATAGGTAATTTTTAGAAATTAATTCACGGCTCTAGGCGTTGTCAGATCATCGCAGGCAGCGTCGGCCGTCTCCAAACATTAGGCCTATGTCTCCAACTGCTGTATTTTACCTCTTTTTCTTGTTTCTTATTCTTCTGGCCACTGCGCTCGAGGGCGGATCGGGGTGGCCTGATTAGATCCTGCGAATTTGATTTTTTATTATGACGTCAGAATTGCACCGATTACACACTCCTGTTTATCTTGATGTTATTGCCCGCTTTTGATAGCCTACTACGGCCCTAGAAGGTGACTGCTTTTACAACTTGATACTGCGTTGGTTGTATTGCTTCGTGTGCTGTAGTTTAACGCGTGAAATGCTTGCATTACTCTATTAACGCTGTGTTGATTGGTGAAAAGTGTGTGTGATACAAATCTTAACTTTTAGCTAACGGTGATTGAATCTGTCTGTGTATTTTTTGAACCATCGTAAACGAACTTGAAATCTTCGGCCAAATACTGCATCAGTCAATCAGTGGTTTTTATTTCAGTAAATGCATGATACAAGTTATTAGAAATAACAGTGCTCATGCAGTGATATTGCGGAGAGAAAGCTTGCCATTTTAATTTTTATGATTGAATTTGTTGTTTTTTTTGTTAGGTGTTGTTTAAAAATGCTATGTGATTGTTGCTTAAAATAACCACACACAGTTCTGCCAGGGGGGATGGTACGTTGGAAAGAGTGACTCCAGAATCAGTTGCATGCTGGTGAAGGGCTTGCTTTGGCTTTATCACGCTCCACCGACAAGATACCTTATCATAGCATCCATTGTTCTGTGGGACAGTCGTTTTTTCCATTTTTTTGGCGTAGACCGTCTTCTGTTCTGCATCAGTTATGTAATTTGAGTGGCTTAAGGTAACATAATGATAAAAAGCTGTTATGGACGATTTGCATCGCACGTGGCAGCCATGTTGCAAATACACTTCGGCACATGTAGGCTAGGTGGCACAAGCTACTACCCATTAGTAGGTTGACCATACTCGTCGGGGTAGAAAACAAGACATCAAAGGAAAGGTGTGGAGGAGAAGGAAGGTGACGAAAGCAAAACAAAAAAAAACAACTGTAAGCTCGGCTACTATTCAGTTTACCATGAAAACACACACTCGTCTGGGGCTTTTTGTTTAGCAGTTGAGTACATACCGTAAGCACCTTTCTTACCCATTCTGCGGAACCTAATCATGCCAAATTTAGTCATAGAAAAGTGCTCCACACAAACTTATGGGGGAACAAAACTTGTTGGCAACTAGAGCCACAGGAAAAGCTAAAAATCATACTCTACTGCAGTGGCATAGCCAGGGGAGGAGGCTTATTTATGGCACTCCAGCCCTCCCCAAAATACAGTTGACACTATAATTAGGGTTCCGTGTTTTCAGATGAATATAAAATAATCTGAAAAACACTTGCCGGTAAATTCTTCGTCTATTTGGATTTGCCCGAAAAACTACAAATTCTGAGGTCGGTGTTTTACAAATATATTTTATAAGTGCACAGGGTCAGTGGGTCTGAGGAGATGCCACTTCAGTTTCCTTTGAAATCTAGAGCTGCTGACAGAAGGGGTTAACCTTCTACATGTCAAGGTTCTTTCAGGACAATGAGTCATGGTACCCAAACTTTATTTATTTGTTTTTGAATTTGTAAAATATAGGAACAGGTTAAATAAACTCAGAATTAAAAAAAAAAAAGGTTTGTGTTTAACAAAAATAAACTCTGATAAACTGCGAATCTTCAGCGAAAAATAAATGAAAAACACCCTCTGAATTTCACAAGAGATAAACTCTGAAAATAATGGAACCCTACCTATGATATACACATGCATTGTGACACCCCCTCCCCCCACACCCCAAGTCATAGACATCCCATCTACGCCACTGCTCTACTGGAGGTAACATTTTTATCCTATGTTTATTCTAATCCACTGTCATGAGTAAGCATTTCTTGTTTTCTTCACTTGCTTGGTATTGATTTTGCGAGCAAGTTCCACTAAAACGGGAAATTTGTCTTTATTTGGACAAAATGACAGGACGGCAGGTATGAATCTCTAAAACAGGATGTCTGGTCTTCTTGCCCATTAGAAAAGGCACAGCCACTGTTCAAACATGCAAAAGCGCTTATTTAATACCGAGTATATTTGTGTGCACAAACACGAAGAAGTGGGCAAGGACAAACACAACTCTCAACTAGTTTTATTCTCGGCCAAGCAACCGCAAAAGGTTCAAAAGGAGCTTGAACAGAAAAAAAAAAAAAATTCTTGGCATGCCAAAATCACTGTATCAACCCAGATAATAATTGTGATTCATTGTTAGACAGTGAAACCAAAGTTTTGCTAACAAAGCTTTACCCCTGAAACCAAGCTAGCAATCTACACGACAGTAATACGACCTGTCTTAGAATACGCGGATGTTGTTTGGGACCCTGCGACTAAACTTAATATTGATCGACTCGAGGGGGTACAGAAGAAAGCCCTGCGCTTCATTTACAACGAGTACAGAAGAATGAGTTCTATCACTAACTTGTACAATAGGTCGAAAATTGAGCTTCTTTTAACCCGGCGCAAAATTAATTGTCTAAAGCTTTTGTATACCATTGTACATGACTCATCTCGCCTTTCATTCGAGAGATCTATGCAATTTAACACATCCCGTCACACACGACACAAGCACTCCAACACAATTCTGGTACCTTACAGCAGAACCCAATGTTTAAAAAACTACTTTTTCGTACGAACCATTAACGAATGGAACAGTCTTCCTGCCAACATTACCAATGTCTCATCCGTTCAGGAATTCGCCTCATCACTACAGCGTTATTTCTTAGATGTGCAGTCCTAGATGTTTTTCCTTTTACTAGCGTGCAATGTGGTTTTCTTCTTGTGTGTTGCCCTGTGTGCCCTCTCCTGCCTTGGCTGCCAAATGGCAGCCGGCAGTATGTCTAAATAAATAAATAAATAAATAAATTACCCTCAGTGGCGTCACTAAGGTCAGCGGCACCCAGGGCGGTTACCCTGCTGTAACACACCCCCCTTTCCCGTTCTCGCAGCTTGCCGCGACCCACCCCTGAGCGCTACACCTGGGGTAGTGCCCCCCCCCCTCCAAGTAACGCCGCTGATTGCCCTTCTTCATATAAAATGCTTTCATCAGCTCTCTGCTTCAGCATCTATCTGCCTGAGTTATAAATAAAAAATAAAGGTAATGTGCACTTGCCCATGTATTATGGGGCATGACTTCGCAAGATCAAGATACTGGGCAGGAGCAAAGATACTACAGCAAGAGAGCTGATGGAAGCATTTTATATAAAGAAGAAGGGTAATGCCTGTGTTACTGATGCTTCGGTTTCATTGTTTAAGAGTAAACTGCAATTTTTATCTGGGTTGATATGGTGATTTCGGCATACAAAGAATTTTTCTTGTCTTTTATGTTTTCTTATTTTTTTTCCTTCTTTCGTACCATGCTGCCCGTGCTCTTCCTGAATTTTTTGGGGTTTCCTGTCCGCGACGTAAAATAGTTGAAAGTGGTGCTTGTCCGTGTTCACTCCTTCGTGTTCGTCCTGTGCTTGCACATTCAGGTTTACTCAGTACCATGGGCCAAGAAGCTCAACAACAGGTTTTGCTAAACTAGTTGCATTAGGTCACTGAAGGACTGGAAATCATGCCAGTCACTGGACCACTTGAAATTTCGCATATCGCCCACTTTAAATGCAGGCTTACAGTTGATCCATAGGCCGTAATATTACGTACAGGTCCACAGGCATGGTACCTGGAATCTTCCCGGATGCTGTATCGACAGATGTAGCCCAAAATTTAATTTAGTATCTGTAGTATCCTGAAATGCAAAACAGCACTGTTTAATCAAAAGGACACAGACAAAATATTTACATTTGCCAAAATTTTAATAGAAACAGATTCTACGACGACCCAACCAGCCAAAAAGGGTATTTGCAGCTTAAAATCTGGACTTCTCTTTGCACGAAGACTGTCGGTTGAGAATTGGAGGTTGTGGCCTACACACTATATTTTACAAGGCCATGTGCAGTGACGACAACAGTGTACAAAACTTTCTTAGCAGTTATAGACCATCTAAGGCACATATTTATTAGTATGAGAGTATGAGTAATAGAATTTCTGAAACGGGTAACTTTTATGATGACTGAAACACCAAAAATAACTTGGTGTAAAGAAACTTTGAGCTCAAAGTTCCAGGTGGTGACTCCTTTAAACTCAACATTGTGCTGGCCCTCTGAGTTTGGTTTGAATTTGTTTTTGTTTACAAACATGTCACTTCGCAGTAACAACGAGCAGCTGATACTGGTCAAGCAGCTTTGCATGTCACTTTCTGTCATTCTCTGGATGGCAGCCATTCCGAGCATGCAAAGATATTTTAGGGTTGGCTTTGACAGATAGTGCTCGGAGCTCTCAAAGCAGTGTGAAGTTTCTTAAGTGAGCATGGAACTCTTTTTTTCTTTCTTTTCATGCTCTGCTCAACTTGTTTATTTACTTTTTTTTTTTTTTTTGCACACATTTTGTTACAATTGGACAGTAGAAACAACAAGTCTTACCAGTTGGTACTTCACAATCTCAACACTGAATAAAGTCTTAAAATATTGTGCACAAACAAACTTTCACAGGAGTGAAGTAGCAAAGAAGGAAACCCACTTGAGTTATCCAAAAGATTTTCTTCTCCTAGTTTTGGAAACACTGAAGTGTTGTTTCTCACGAAGATATAGTGCCTGAATTGTTTTTGTTTTTTTTCCTTTTGTCTTTTCTACTATATTTCTTTGTTCTTTTCAACTATGTTGTTTGAACCTTATTTCATCAAAAAAGTTCCTGTCACTAAAAGGCGAGCCACCTTCTTTTCAAAATTTGAGCACAATCTCTTTTCTGGCCCTGTTAGAGCATGGTAATTTCCTCGTGTAAAGGTTGGCATATTTTAGTTGCCTGCCCAGGTGATTGTCGATGTAGGATAAAATTTCACAGAAATGAGAGAAAATAGAGCAGAAGTTCTCACACTAACTGCATAGCGTGCCTTATCTCTGATGCATATCACCCATAAACACAAACCTGTCAGGGTATGTTGCCACGCAAGTTGCAAGACTTGCACAGTGTAGTTGTCTCTTGGGGCCCCATATGATATGCGCCTGTTGTTGCAAACAGTCGTCAAGTGTCGACTGCTTGCAACAACAGGCGATTAACAACAGGTCATTAAACTGATTCAGCACCTGTCTGGTGACAGGTGCTGAATCGGTTTAATGACCAATGCACAACCCGAGTTTTCTGCAAGACAAAAATCATGGTGAATTTCTTTTCCTCCCAGTTTGAAAGTCTAGTGGGGGGGGGGGGGGGGGGGGGGGAGGTTTGTATTCGTGCTTTAGGAAGGACAGAGAACTGGAAAGGAAACAGAATGGACAGGCACAAAGTGACAATCCAGTGAGGCAAGCAGGATGAGATTCTTAAGGGAGCCGACAGGATTGAAGGAAACAATTTGAGGAAGACAGAAGTAGAGAAATAGAAAGAGTGACATTGAAATTTAGATAAATTTAAATTTTAGGTTTAGATTTTAATAGATTTAAATTTGAACAAGTGGCAAAAAAAAAAAGCACTGAGAGATGCATCAAACTTTCCAAGGACAATGTGCAGCGTGTCTCCCAAGATATTTACATTTTTTTTACCGCAAAAATGAATGACCCATCGTTGAACACTCCATCTCCGCTTAAAATGTAACAGTGGTGGTCGGGACCAGATGCCAAAAATTTCAGAACTAGCTGTTGCTTCAGAACTAGCTGTTGCCAGGTTCAAAAGTTATAAGCATTTTTCAAAAATTTGCAGTGGGAAAATGGGGCCCGTTCCTGGTGACCGACTCCACTTGGCTCCATGTATTCGACGGCTTGATCGTCCATCATTTCCCCATTGAAAATTTCAAAACATTGCCTATAACTTTTAATTTGATGATGTCAACCTCTAACTTATTAGAACTTGAGTGTTTTTCAAGTGCTTTACCAGTTTAATTTTGTTTTTTCACACTTTCCCTCATGTAATAAATTCCTAGGGATGTCCTTGAAGGCAATGAACTTGAACTTGAACTTGAAGTTTTTGCGTCCAATCTGTACCTTTACCGCTACATGTGGTAGGAGACAGAGTGTCGAGAGTTAATTTTTGCAGTAAAAATATCCTTACTTTTATTTCTTTTCTTTTCAAGACACCTTGTATTTTAGTAGCTGGTTGTATGTTCGAAAATCTCTAAGAATGATGAGTAAACTTCCAGGATATTCTCAGTTCCTCGTGTTGTATTTTTGCTGCCAGTCCTAGCACACCTCTTAGTGGTCGATTCAAATCAAGTCTTGATCGTATTGCGTCTTGCTATGCAATAAAACAAGAACGGTGTCAGCCCCTTTTTTTTAATTTTGCTCAGGTGGAAGTTGGTGCCCCAATGTGCCATTTTTGCCACCCATAGGACTAATGGCAGCATTCCGTTTTTAAAACAAAAACAGGAAAAACCGAAAATGACTTGTTTGTGTTGATCCTGTGTCGTTCTCTGAACCCTTACCTTGCGAGTGGGGAACTATGCGACTGGCAGCTACTGTGTCATCTAGTGTTCTTGAGCACTTGAGGTTACTTATAAAATTTATATATAAAGTTTGAGCCCCAGTAGGGCTCTAGCCTGGCCGGTGCAGTGGCACTTGGATACTATAGCTAATGAGCTGCGTAGCACGCACAGCTAGTCTGGAAGGATTGGGCGCACGGAGAACATGCCGGCAAGAGTGGCACGACGTCGTGCCATGTGACCGCTTGCTTCATTGGCGTCATGCTTTGCTCAAGCACCATATAAATTAACGCCCATGCAAAGCTCTCGTTCGCTTGGTCTTGCCCTGGCTAACACACGTGGTGCACGATGAAAAGAACTAGCACAAACCACACACGGAGTGTGATTTGCGGTTGTTTCCCACGTGCCTGTGCAGAATGTGTCCCACGCACACAGAACACATTTTGTGCTTTCTGGTCTTCATCAGCACAATTGAGCGAACAAGGATTTTTTCCGTAAACAAATCAGTATTTTTACGAAATACGTGCACCAATTTCATACTATGTTAAAACTTGGGAGTTTTTGGGCTAGGTTGTCCTGTTGTATTCGTGTCTCTGTTCCCGTATTGTTTGCGCATTTTACTACTTTGGAATGTATGTATGACCTGTGTGAATTGAGCTTTTATCAGTCAAAGCCGTATCAAAACCTTTTCCTCATTTCAACAGGTCTTCCGATGACGTCGCCACTGACCTGAGGCTCCCGGCAAAGAAGTGGCCGAGAGCATGGCGGTGATGACCGGCGTAGTGCAGGAATTCCTGCCGTCTGCTCTCGACGGGGTCGGCAACGAGAGCTCGCCGACGCCATCCATCATCGTTCCGGAGTACTTCTGCAAGTGGATCCTGTACCACGAGATCCCGGGCTCGCGGCAAGTGTCCTCCATTTTCGTTTTCACCGAGGGCCTCAGTGCCGTTCGTTTCTCCCGGCATTACTCCTTGGTAAAGTGTAGTGGCGCTTTGTAAGAAAAGAGCGCCATGTGAGTCGCACAGCTGGGACGCGCTTCCGAGTTTCAAGAAGAGCAAGGTGAGGCAGAACCCTGATTTTGTCTACGCAATGTCTACAGCAATACATAACGTATTCTCCAGTGCGTAAGTAAAACGGTGTGACTTATGCACATAGTTTTTCTAGAAGTATGGACCCTAGCTGCGGAAATTTGCCACGAAGGTTACATTTCCTCTTTGATTCGTTGACTATAACATTGAAGCTTGATCTCGCCTGTGCGTATATTGCAATCATAATACACATGTGTGGGCTTTTCAGTGCAGTTTCGTGGCACTGAATGTGCAAATATATAGGTGCAACATGCACAAACTAGCAACTTGGTCTTCCCTCTCTCAAAACGCATAGGACGGTATCCGCCTTAACTATTCTTCATAAATTTTACTACCACCTTCCTTTCCAGAAAACTTTGTACTGTATACCCGCTCCTCATATCTCCCGTCGCTTAGATAATTCCTGCAAACTATTTTTATCCACCCCCAGGACCAATACCTTTAAATTTTCTCCCCTGCAGCTTTCCGTTACCAATTGGAATAAGCTGCCAGATTCAATAGTAACCATATCGGACACTTCAAAATTTAGAGAAGCACTTGCCACCTTTTACGGCTCGTAACTGACGTTTTTGCTATCTTTTGTTTGTTTTTCTTGTTTGTACCGGTGTACTTAAATCTTAGAAATACTGCCCGCCCCCCTTATGTAAAGCCCCACGTGGGCATTTAAGGGATAAATAAATGAAATAAAATGAAACTTATGTACCAACTTTTTTCTGAAAACGCCCGTTTATAGGTGGGTGCGACTTAATAACCAGAAAGTATGGTAGCTAGAAATTTTCTTCTTGATGTCGTTAGTATGATTGCTGTGCCTTATATCTACAGGCGTTTCACCTGTTTTAGCTTGTAGGCTGTATTTATCGCCAGAGACCGACACAGCTGATGTGAGCATGCAGTCAATGTTTTTCAACGATACAACCCTTCACGCGAGACTGCATTAGTAAAATGCAAAAAAGCTTGCAGACTGCATTAGTAAAATGCAAAAAAGCTTGCATGTCATGTTTGTGCTGACTGTTTGATAGTCTTTGAAACTGCACACTAGTGTGCGGTTTCAAATACTTTTGCTTTCGACATGTTGTCTGTGCTTTGATTTTGTTTAAAGGCTCGTCCACACACTTGCAACCGAATAAGACAGTCTGAGACGAGACCGGTTTTTAGGCCTCTTGCGACGGCTAAGGACCAGCAGGGCATCTGGTCCTACGTTGTTGCAAGAGGCTTGATGACCGCTCTTGTCTCACTCGGCCGAACTTGGTTGCAAGTGTGTGAACGCGCCTTTACTCAGAAGTGCTAAGCACTACTTTGTGTCAAGTTGCACGTTAAACATCTTTGCATCGCTGACCCACTGAATTCTGCATATTTTTAAGAAAGGTATAGAGCACTACTAGAAGATTACTCCCTTCACAGTTGTCTCATTGCTTCATTGTTAACAACTGTTAACATCTGTTTGCTCTACTGATGTCTAGCTCTTGGTTAGCTCACTTGGTAGAGTGCTCCATTGGTCTTGGGGAGGTCCCAAGCAGACTTGTACACGTCAGTGAAAAAAAAAAAAAAAAAAGTAAGGAATTACTTTTACATGTACACAGGGCTAAATTGTAACTAATTATAATTACAATTACCCTTCCATAAAAGTAAGTGACTGTTACCACGAAAAGGAATCCATTACTTTGGTGGTGTTACTTTCTATCTTACTGTCCTAGGGTGAGAGACAAAACACAAAGCGTTAGGGAAGGGTTCATTGTTGCCACCAGTCTTGCTTTTGTGACCTTGAGCAACAGCTGGCTCTCTTAAAGTTTCGACAGTCTTGCATTGCATTCTTCTTGAGAAAAACGGAAGTGCTCTTTGCCCCGGTGGAAGCGCAAAGCTTCGTTGTTACAGCCGGAGTTTGATGCTGTTAAAATTGCAGATATAAAAATTGTAATACAGATAATTAAACCTAGAATAAAATTAATGTATGTGAATATATTATATAAACATATTTAGCTGGCCAATATTGCCAAATGGGGGTATGGGAAAATAGTGAAATGTGGTGAGTACACATAGCAATTAAATTATAGGTTATGTTTTTATGTCAATCTTTCATAAGCTGTCATGCTTTGGTTGAGACGTCGGTGAATAGAAAGACAAAGCTTTTTGGACATATGACCAGCAAAAACATCAGATGATCTCTCAGAAAACAAAATATAATCTTATTAAAATGGAAATGTAGACGCAAGTAGCCGTGCCTAGTGTTTTTTCATGACATTCAAAATGCCTGCAGCACGGTTCGGCCGTACCACAGCTCAGTGTTTTTGAGCTAAATGTCAGGTAAGGCGATGGCAACATTCCCCCCCCCCCCTCTCCCAGCAGTAAAGCAGTAATTCTAATTTTGTGAAATACGAGCTACATACTAAAGGCCCGTTCACACTCTTGCGACTGAGTACGACTGAGAGAGACGAGATCTCTTAAAACTTGTTAAATGTTTTTAGAATGAGGGAACACACTGGGCATTGTGGCGCCATCTCTGCGGTGACCCCGGAACTGCATTTCACAAGAGCGAAGGTTTTGCGGGATTTCATAGGTCAAATGTGCGTAATACCCATAGGCTCATTTATAACATTGACAAAAGTTTCTCGAGCCAAGAAAGAAAGGACAATGCGCGAGAAATAAAAAAAAATATGCCGGACCGCCGAGTTTACACTGCTTCCCAATAGATGGCGCCAGTGTGTTTTCTGGTTTAAGAAGTTTTAAGGAACCCAGGTTTAAGAGGTCGCAAGAGTGTGAACGGGCCTTAAGTGTTTGCTCATACTTCCACATCTGAAAGGCGTAAGCAAGCTCCTTAATTCTGAGGCCGATCATCTAGGAACTAGGGAGCACGATTCTCACACCGCAGTACTATCATCGCAGAAAGTTGCCAAATAATACAGATGGCGTGTCCTGATATTGTGAAAAAACACACAAAGAAACAAATGACACACGAAAAAGGTGACAGGGACATAGGCAACCTGAAGCTTTTAGATGTAGAAGATTAGCTGAAAAGCAGCTCAAAATCAGATGAACATTAGTATGTTGCGAAGATGATAGGTGTTCTAACATCTTTTGAGCAGCATGCCAGTTAGTAATGTCACATTGTTTTCAGTAGATTTCTGTATTGAACTTTTATTCAGCAGAAAACGGAGTGTCCCCTCCTGTTGCGACACTATGCAAACTGTCGTAGTCACTATAACCAAAGAGGGCATTGTTTAATTGTGTTGTGTCCTCTCCGCGTCGTCGAAAGCAAAGTGATGGGTCAAAAAGAGACGGGCGCGCACAGATCCGCCACCCCAACTCACGTGCACTCCAAGTTTTTTTTTTATTTTTTTTTTTTTGGTTGGAAGAAGCATTTTGGCTTTGGGAATTTGTGTAATATTGTTTGTACCGGGAGTTTGGTTCTTTGTATCAGTGTGCTTCCCCCTTTCGCTGTGGCCGCAAACCACCAATTCACGAAAAAATAAAAGAATTAGAATTAAGGGTTTAGGTGACGTGAAGAAAGGTTTTCAGTATCTGAAGAATATCGGGACGTGCGTTTTGTATGTGCAGGTGACTGTGTAATTCCAAAAAAAGCTTACCCTTTCAAAAAAAAAAAAAAAAAATTTAGAAGGAATAGTTTTTTTGCTGGTGGTGTTTTTTATATTTATGTTTTTTTTCCTTGTGAATGAAAACGAAAATGTAACAGATTACATTAATTTCCCTTTGTAAAAAATAAGGAAATTACTTTACAATTACTTTGTAAAATATGTAATTATTCCCTTACAAAATTACTGATAAATATAAGGGATTACAAGTAATTTCATTACTTGCAATGCATTACATACAGGCCTGGTTTCAAGATCGATTCCTGATCCAGGCGAATTTTTTCAGCACCTACCGGTTGCCTAGAAGGCATCAGTTGCAATTCATTTCAGGTGGAAATTAATTTATTCTCGCGTAAATCTTTTCTGTCTTGGGGACTTCCCCTTATTCATTATACCTGATGCTTCATTCGTTCTTTGACCTTTTTCTTAAATTGCAATGTTCATTGTATGCCGGTAATCAAACAGCAGGTGTTTGTTATGAGATTCAAATAATGAAAAAATAGTCATGTAGCTTTTTAATTATCCATTTATAAAATTAAATTATAAATGATTTGTATTCACCTCTAATATTCTTTGTCATGAAACAAGCAGAAAGACAAAGCCAACATTAACAAGAGTACGGCGACCTTTGTCGCCGTACTCTGCTCAGTCGGCCAACAATGGAGTGACAGAGGACGGAGTCACGGAGGAGTCATTACCTTTCCTGACCAGCCCCTCGCAAAAGAGGTCAGCAAAGCGATTACCCTTGGCACGGAGTAAGAGCGATGATGCCTCCCTTTCCGTCTTTCCCTTTCTCTTTTGGCGTTACGGAAGCACGCACAGCCTGGATAAATATCTCTGGTCCGGAGTCATTCAACCTTGGAAATGATTTTTTTCTTTCCATTTTGCTTGTTCTTTTTTAATTTTTGTTTGTTTGTTTGTCCATTTGTCTTTTGGGAAACTTGAAAATGTTTCCCTTGCGTAAGCCACCCGTGCGGACCATTGTGTTTTAAGAAAGGCTATAGTTGTGAAGGCTATCGTTGTGTCTTTTTTCCATTTACCGTATTTTCCGGGCTATAGTCTGCGGACTATACATGTTTAAAAGTTGAAATTTCTGGCTGTGCGGACTATCTACGCGTGCAGACTATACAGGAATTATGTTTTTCAATATCGTTGATTATGACGAGACGGGACGGATTTTGTGAATAAAAGAGTATGTTATTGATAATTTATGTATATTATAGGCTTTTTTTGTGAGCTAAGAAAACATACATATGTCAAGGTGTGCCGCATATGAGAAGAATTTCGTGTCTACTAAGCACCAGGTGTGGACTATGCACTGGGTGCGGACTGTGCAGCGGGTGCAGACTATCTAAGCAAAAACTTTCATTTTTGACCCCAAATTTGCCTCTGCGGACTATACACACCGGGTGCGGACTGTAGTCCGGAAAATATGGTATTTTTTCTTTTGTAAATAGTCTCACTAAAAAAAAAGATATGAAACTATAAATTAAAAAAAAAGGTGTGCAGGCCCACAGCTAGTCTGGACCTATTATTCACATGAAAAACGAGGTATTTACTTCAGAATACACACTTAAAGGGAGAGGTTATGCTTCCTTACCCTTTTGTCGATGCGTGTACAAGACTGCATTTACTACATATGACGAGTTTTGTGACCAGCAAGATTTAGAAAACTATATCTCAGGTCCCATTATTTCACTTTTCTTCCGAAGGATTTTGAACTTATTGCGAGGATGACTTGGTCATGATTCCCGAAACAAACATGATGGATCCCCTGTTCTAATAAAGTTTGTAATGCTGTGGGGAGAGAATTTGTCTGGGGCAGATTTAAGAAGCACGACTTGACTTACTGAACTGCTGCGACAAAAGAAGACTAGATTTTGCCCCCCCCCTCTGCCAAAAAGAAAAAGAAAAGTGCCTGTGAGGCACATATGTTTTCCATCCTTCCCAGCAAAACTTATTTCTTCGTTCAGAACGAACTGTCGCACGAGCACTTAAAACAAATGAAGAAGGGATTATTGCTCGGTGATGGATGATCCACCTCGTCAAGCTTGCAAGAGGTAGAATGCAATGGGGATATAAATCGCGAGGAGCTAACGAAGGAAAATGAAAACCCCTGTGACCAATCATAGCCATTTAGAAACTGACAAAGGGTATGGTTGACAAAGGGGGTAGCCAAAGAAGAGCGTTATCAGCAGGGAGCCCGATTGGTGAAGAGTATAATCAACAATGCTTAGGCTGACGTCCAACTCTTGTGCACATAGAATACGTTCAGAGGAGTCACGGCGTTGCACAAGAGCAGGATGTGACGTGTCACGCACTCGCACGACGTGACACCAATAAAACTTGCCTGCCAAACTTGATGGAGAGAAGAACGCACGCTCTGTTTGTCATATTACATGTGTTGGTAACATTGCATCTATCCGCAACGTTACATTCATTCGCAACGTTACATCTATCCGCGACGTCAAATGCATATTTTTCCAGCATCAACCCCCGAGTGAAATAATGTTCCGCGTCAAAAAAGAGTGTGACCGACAGAAGTGCGTGACGAGCGTGCGGTGCCGTGTGTGGCGTGCAGGGTGCGCGTCTGGGACCTGAGCATCCTGGTGCCCAACGTGTTCTTCCTCCTGTTCATGGTCCTGCGCTTCAACCGGGCTCGGCTCAAGCTCAGGGCCACCAGCAGCCCCACCTTCTCCACCTTTTACGTCCTGGTGAGTCCGGCGTGCGCTTTGGCCGTCTTGTCACGTGCGCGACGAAAAGGAGCCCTCCTCGCGACACCATGGCCGTCCATCCGCTCGGGCATCTCTGGGACTGCTGGACGTTTCCCTTCTTTAAAAAAAAACACTGAACCTAGGAGGAAATGTTTTTTTGTTTTTTTCGTTTCCTACCCGGTTAGGACGGGCGTGTCTCAAAATAAATGTTTGTCGGGAAAGAAAAAATTAGTTTGCCCAATATTTATGTTACAAGACAAATTTTTTGATAGGCCGGTGAGACCAAAACTGTACCCCTGTGGGATGATGATGATAACATTTGTACCCAACTTGTGTGTGCTCCGAGAACCAGCAAACTTCGAGTGCACACTAGTTGGGTGAAAATGCTGTCATCATCATCCCACAGGGGTACACTTCTGACCAACTAGACCAGAGGCTCATTTCACTGGTCTAGTTGGTCAGAAGTGTCCCTGTGCTTCCTGATAGATGGCGCCACCGTGTGCTGTCGTAAGCAGTTCCGAGCGAGTACAGCGCACTCAAACACACTCAGATGCGAATATGTGAAACAGCCTTTGACTGTGCTGTCAGCTCTTGAGGCCGGGACGCTCCTCCTCTTGGGTTAAACATGTCCTTGACTGTCCTTTTGCGTTAGCCCTTAAGCTGACGGGGCGGTGAAGGCTGCAAGTAGGAGCAAGCCCGCGCCCCTGGCTTTGAGACGCACCTTTCTAGTGCGAGCTCTCGTTCCACGCAACCGTGCTTCGGAGTTGCAGCCCCGTGCTGTAGCCTTCGCTGCCCCGTAAGCTTGAGGATGAACAGAACATGGGCTACCCCTTTACACTTTGCCACTGTGCTGCCAACTCCTGAGAGGTTAATGTCTCTGACCCAAGTCTAAAGATGTCCCAAATACCTTTGGGCCACCCTTTTACACTTTATCAGTGCCGCCAGCTTTCAACACTCTTAATTTCTTTGCTTCAAGCCCATACATCTCCCTAGATGTCCCTAGGTTGCTCTTTCATCCTTTCTATCAGTACAGCCAGCACCCAAAAGACTAGCATTCCTGCTCGGATCCCAGGAATGTTCCTAGACATGCCTAGGTTGCTGTCTTATATAAAAATAGTTTGGAGTTACATATATGTGCATAAAGTGTATCTGGAGGAAACGGGTATTGGTATTGATATTTGTTTTACCCTTGGACGCTATCGAACCATCCCAACCATTCGGTGCTGAGAGCGTGCTTGTAATGTCGCGCATCGCTGTGCCCAATCGGAAGGTCACGTGATACAATCTTGTTCGATTGACTGACAGCCCGTAGCATTGGCTGTAACTCATTTTAGGGTGAAATGGAGTGTAGAACAGGCAGTGCTCTTCCAAGCCTGGCTTTGTATCTGGCATTCTGACTTATTTCAGGTGTCAGTGAATGCAGTCATCAGCGTCATCCGATGCGTGGTGTCTATGACGGTGAACGCTGCTGCGCCTGTAGGTGGAGTCGCCGACAAGGTAGGTGCCATCTCTCTTAGGAAATAAAAAAACTGATGTTTTCCTCCGACTTGTTACACAAATATATTTGGAAGAAATGCATAACATTTTAGACGCTTATAAGCTTGCGAGTGTTCGGAACTTTTTTTAGTATTGATAGTTTCTTCAGGGCTGGTGTATGCTCGTAGTACAGATATGTGTTTCTCATTTAAGGGGAAAATGCATCTTTTATTCTAAAGTGCTTCTTTTTTTATTTCCATGAGTTTGTTTGAGCTTAGTGAATACCATGGGCAGTGGACGTCCTTGATATTTTTTTATAGCTGCATTTGATGTGGATGAACCCAAGGGCAAGACATGTTTTTCTCAATACATTTATTTGGCGCGTTTGTGAGAAACGTTTTGTTAGTTTTCCGCCCAATGAGAGGTGGCTACTCGCACCACAGCGACAAGTAACAGAGACGCAGCTCACATGCTCGGTGCTTGGAATGTGCATGTATTTTTTTCGGCGTGGAAGTTTGACTTGACTTTTCTCTTGTGTGACACATTGTTTCTTTTCCGACATCCTCGTGCCGTGTCCCCCTTTTCTGCTCAGGTCTTGTGGGTGGCTGTGAGGTTTTTTCTGCTCTCCACTGAGATGAGTGTGCTCATCTTTGGGCTTGCCTTTGGTGAGTACCTAATGCGGGGAGAATAGTGGATTGGTGTAGTGCCCATCTGGTTGAAGAAGGTACCAGCATTTACCAAAGAAACAAGCTCTGTAGGTGGAAACTTGTTTGAGTAAGGCACAGGTGCAGATTGAAAGTTTAGTCCGAGACTGGAGCATGGGGCAGAACAGGCAACACACTGCACGGTTAAAGTGTCTAGACTGAGCTTGTTCTTCCAGATACTGCTGGGAAAGTGATTCTTTGCTGAGCTATTTTCTTACACTGGCTTTTCGAGAGGGGAACTATGAAAAGCAGTGCTCCTGTAAACCGAATTGGGACTGCGGTACCACTTTCATGTTTACAGTTAGGGCTGTTTTAACTTCCTCGTGATCTGTTTGTTTGGGAGAGGTTCCCGACATCCGAGTTACAGGTTTGTTGCGAAGCTTGCTGATATGCAGTTTCACACACGTGAAAGTTACACTTAGGTGGATTTGTTATGTTTTCATGAATTTATGTCAGGCGATGCACTCAGCGGTTCATTGTCATGGTTATGATCCTGGTGGTGATAATGTTAAACCAATCAGTGTATGCTGCGGCAGGCAACTGGCTCACTCGTCCTGACAGTTGAGGCCACTGCACACTGATATGCTACAGTCTAAGCTCGTTATAACAGACCTTTATTTTGGCCAAGATTTTGGTCTGTTGTAGGAGTATGTTGTATGCAGATATGCAGTTGAGGCAATGGTGCATAGAGGAAAACCAACTGAACCTCAGAAATCAATATGTTATATCCAAATATCTGTTGTAACCAGGTCTGTTATAATGAGCTTAGACTGTATCTTCATTACGTCATGTCAACAACCTCATATGTACATATTAGCAAGCCTTATCTTCCGCACATTTCACCCGTGCTAGAGTTGCGGATTATTCTGTGCCACAATAAATTTTGCGAGACCGAACATGTGACTCTGTCGTCTGGTTAGGTTTCGAGATTTTTTCATTAAACGACTTGTGGTTTTCTGGAGGGACAAGGGGCTACACGACTCGTTGAAGTGTGCATTGAGCTCTAGAAGCATCTAGGCTCTGTCTAATCTGGCTATACTTTGACAGCACTGTTCAGGTAGACATGTACATCTATAGTCACTGACAAGTTAAGATTGAAGTACTATGGAAGGCAATGAGCTGGGAGCAGAGCTTTTACTGCATTCTTAGTTTGTCGCCGACAAGAGTTCCGGAACAGCTTGACTTGCTCAGATTTGACAATGTCTACCAAGACACTCAAATTTGACCCAGTTAATGTGTCCCATCGTGTATTCATTCCTTCATTGAAGTAAATGCTTCAACAATGTTTAAAAGGTTTTTTTTTAGAAGACACGAAGATGAAGTTGATTGCATTATACATATTAGGAATGCTTCGGTGTTCTTTCCAATTGTGTCGCCTTCCGTAAAAGTTTAGGTGCAGCCTACCGCAGCATTGATTTGGCCAGATTTTGATGCTGTTTTGATCCGATTGGTTTACTCTGCAGGTCATTTGGACAGTCGGACAAGCATACAGAGGGTTCTGACGATGACCTCGCTCGTTGCATTCCTGTACTCCGGCACCCAGGCAAGTCTGCCCTCCTGTTGAATCCAGTGCCCGCGTAGCCACGGCATGGTTGGACAAACTTTTCGGTTGCCTGTTGGTTCATTCGTTCATTTATCTGTTTCCCGAAGCTTGTCGGTCGGCTTTATGCAAAGTGTCAAAGTACTTGTCTAGATAATCTGCAGTTTTTAGGAGACTAAACACACGGTACCCCACGTGGACATGCTCGGAGATTTGCCCACGGTTCCTCGCAGACGAAAGCGCCGGACCGTCTCATTTCTCGCCGGTTTCCGCTCTCTGCAGGGGGTGCTGGAGTTTGTGATGCCGGACAGGAAGTTCTTTGTGCCAGACAAGAACTTTGAGCTGTTCGGCCACGGGGGGATGCTCTTCTGGTTCGTCAGCTCGGTGGTCTTTGCAGCGGTGGGTGTTCCTGTTGTAGCACAGTGTCCGTAACGCGTCTCCGATTGGAGTGTTTGCTGCATCCTTAAAAGTGGTTCCTCGATTTCCACCCGACGTGTGCAGCACCCGACGGTGTCGGATGCTGCAGAGGGCCGTTTTGTTGTAGGTCCCTCTCCCGCTAGACAGTTTGCGGAACCGTTCCCGAAAGCCAGAACCACAGCAACGCTTTCGCTAGCTCTTTTTTTTTTGGGCAGAAGTTCAACAACCAATTGTCGGAATCATCCTGACACACCGGCTTCTGTGACGACATTTGTTTTCTCTTCGGTACCACTTTCGATGCGTCGGTCAAGTGGGACGGTGGACGCGACGGTCGATGACGCATTTCGGGCACCGTACGTTTAACCTCGTCTTCGGTCGATCGAAGCTGAGTCAACTTAATTAATGCAGGTGTACCTGGCGGTTTTCTCCCTCCCGTGGACGAGGCTGCGGGACAGGCTAGCCCTGCCGTGTGAGTGGACGCCTTCTTCTTAGCTACGTTCTTGCTAAGCATGACGGGTGACGTTTTCTGCAGGGGCGCGCAAGTGGCAATTCGCATCGAGCGGCGCTGTGTCGTTCGGTATTCGTCGTGGTATGACGGAAAGTCAAGACGTACTTACTAGCTCTGTAGTGATGGGGCCGGGAATGTCGCTGCAGTATTTGATTCGACGAACTGCTCGCATGCCCCCTAATTTTTGGCTCTCTTTCCCCGTCGTTGCATAATGCCTTCGGGGCAGCCGTCGGTTCATGCGACAGTGGTTGATGTTGCTCTGCCGTTTCATGGCATAAGGCTTTACGTGGACCGTCGGCGACGGACATGGTCGATGTACGACTGTTTTTATTCTTCTGTTTGTTCTCCAGCTGTTTCAGTCCTCTGGCTTGTCTGTTTTGACAAGCCGGAAGACAAAGTGGTGGCGAGCAACACTGATATCGGGTGTGATTGTGTAGCCCCTGTGGCCTAGTGGGCCTAAAGAAAGCTTTTACGCGAAGGTAGAAAATCGAAAAACTGCTTTTGGGTACAAAAATTTGAATATATAGGCGACTATTTCTTACCTCCTTTCCTTCGAAAGCTTTTCGGCTGTTCACTGTGATGCATGCAGAGTGCCCAAGTACGTCAGCCGAACCCAGCTCACGCATTGGACACAAGCACGGCGTCACTTGGACGTATCTGCTCTTCAACAACCAGTCTGTTGACGACTCTCATTAATTCATACTCCAGGAAGCCACAAGTTATGTTTGAATTATCGGAAGTGTGAATTTTCAGAAATTCGTCTAAATATGATGCAAGATAAGATTATGATTTGCTATAGGGATGGCTACACATGCAAAGAAGATATTTGATGATTTCCTCTACACAGGCCTACTGGCTATAAGCGGGTATGCCACACATGAAACATTTGTGAAATGTATGAGATAGATTTTTTTCATTCCTCAAAAATGTTATCTGTCGTGTACCATTTAGGCAGTATGTGACACCTCAAAGCAAAATTATGTTTGTTCATCGAGCAAACAAGTTCTCTGTTGTGGACTTTTAAGCAGGGGACACGTGAGCAATAAAAACGGGGACCGTGTGGAAGTTTTCATAGCAACTTGCACGGCTGCTGCGACGGTGAGTGGACGTATGCCATGCCGTCATGTCAACATCCGTGCAAGTTGCCATGAAAACTGCCGTGTAGCGCCCGTTTTCATCATTATGTGTTCTCTACCTTAGCCCTGTTGAGCTTGCTTCTTGCCGTGCTCTGCGACAAAGCAGCACTGGCGAAGGCGAGCTCCATCGGTGTGGCTTCTCTGCAATGCACCGGTGCTAAGAGAAAGTGCACTCAATGAAGCCACGAGGACAGAAAGTATTGATTACACAAAAATGCCGTTCAAATTAAGCAGAACACCGTTTAAATTAAGCAGCTTATGAACACATGAAAAACGTAGCGGGACAACCCAAATTTTAAAATTTGTTTTGAATTCATCCGAAGTGCTAAATATCAGTTTGAAATATCGAGAGCCTACTGCATTTGGATTCGCGTTCGTGGCCAATAAGTGCCGTGACGGCACTTATGACTTGTAAATAAAAAGTTCCATGGCATGCTTAAAGGGGCACTGACACATCAGAATCATATTTTTTTTTTATTATCCGAAACGATCGAAAACGATGCCGGGACATTACCCTCGAAATTTGAAACTTGGGAATTCAGTATTTATTTAAAAAAACAATTTCCAAATGCCCAATTTGAAGTTCCCGCGCGATCCGCGCCAGTGCAGTGAGTCAAATTTTGCGGTCTCCGGCGACTCGACTTTCTTTCCGACCTCCGCTCCACCGCGCCGTTGCCACGACGACCCGAAGCGAGGGGGAGGAGGTGAGGAAGCAGGATAGAAGGCTGCTAGCGCGGGAAAAACCAGTTGCTCCCCGACTGGCCGATAAGCCTCTGCTCGAGCGCCGCCAAGTTTTCAGAAGGAGGATACAAATCCAGGAAGCGACATCACACCGAAATCTGATTTTCGGTATTTCAAAAAGAGGGGCCGTAGTGCGTTCGCAATTGCGTTAAAAAACATGTTTTACGATTGCCGTTATTAAATGTTATAGAAATGTCACCTACAAAGCTTCTAAATTTCCTGATTTTTGACGTCATCGATCAAAAGAAGCGAGGAGGTGAGCGCGGGAAATATAAACGCCAAAAATAAAAAGGCGCGTGCGCGCGCAAGAAAAATTTTTTTTGCTATGCATTTTTTTTTGCTTGTCTATGACTATAATCTGCATCGTTTTAGACAATAAAAAAATATATGATTTTGATGTGTCAGTGCCCCTTTAAAAAGCACGGTGGAAGCTCGGAGTCATCTCATCCGGTGAAATGCTGCGTCACGAACGCGTGATCTTTTGTTTCGCTTTTGAGTCGAGGAGGAAAGCTAAGGAGAAAGAAGTTGAAAAACCATTTCACGGTCCCTTTAACTGAGACTCTCCCCGCCCCGTGTGCAGCCAAGCGGAGCTTTTACTGGTATGCTCTGTTCCTGGCTTTGCTCAACCTGGCCCAGGCCTCTGGGTCCGGCCTCTACTACTACGACGTCAACGAGGGCGTCTGGTGAGCTGCCTTTTCTCCCTCTGTCCCATCACACTCTTTATCGTTGCACCTGAGGGCTGGTTGACACATTTGCGTTTACACTTTGGCGCTTACGGCAAGTAACATACTGGCCATTGGCGCTGAACTCTCTTATGAGCGTGTAACTAGGCCAAAGATTTTGCAGAATCTGTGGGATACGATCTATGCACTATTTCTTAGAAATAGTCGCTTATAACATTGTCAGAATTATTTCGAGCAGATGGCGAAAGTATGGTGCACGAGTGCAGATCGGAAGTGTTCTAGGTCTACCCGATAAGGGGGCAGCGTTTTTGCTGTCTCGTTGTAAGTGGTCACCAACGGTTGCAATGTGTTCGAGCTCACTCAAACTCAGATTTGTGAGGGGTTGCACTACATGCGGCAAACTGCGCCTTGGGAGCAGCCTGCATTGACAGTAATGGCGCGTGCTCCAAACTCGGCCAGGAAAGATTGGCACCTGCACATAGCCGCCTCGAATTTTCGTCGGGGACGTATTTTAGCGGTGAATTTTACCTTGGGAAATTTTAAGGCATGGTTCCCTTTCTGTAAAAAGTTATACCTGCTGCACCTATCAGGAGATGGCACCAGGAGCATGACCCCTCGGTTAACTAGGTTTCCTGCATCGGCATCTACCATTGAGTATGTCAAAGGTATGCCCAACGCTCGTAAATTTCGTAAACTTTGACAAGTCTCGCTGGTACTTTTTAGACTTTCTCGAAACTTTCCTGACATTTCTTAAGCTTTCACAAGTCTCACAGGTACTATTTCTTAAACATTCACTAGTCTCTTTGATATTTCTCAAAATTCACAAGTCTCTTTGATGTTTCTCAAAATTCACAAGTTTCTGTGATCTTTATGAAGTTTTCACAAGTCTGGTATTTCTCTAACTTTCACAAATCTCTGGTTTTTCTAAAAGTCTCCTTGATAATTCACTTTCATGCCTCTGGTACTTCTGAAACTTTCATAAGCCTCTCATATTTTTTAAACTTGTACAAGCCATAAGACTGGTACTTCTCATAAGATTGGTATTTCTGAAACTTGCACAAGTTTCTCTGGTATTTGTGAAATTTTCACTAGTCTCCCTGATATTACTTAAACTTTCATGTGGCTCTGATATTTCTTAGATTTTTATAAGCCTCTTGTATTTTTAAAACTTTTACAAATCTGTGGTATTTCTGAAGCTTTCACAAGACCTCTGCTATTCTTCAGACTTTCCCAAATCTCTGGTATTTCTGAAACTTGCACAAGTTTCCCAGATATTTCTGAAACTTTCACAATTTTCTCAAATATTTCTTAAGCTCGCAAGTCTCATAGGTGTTTCTTAAACTTTCACAAGTTTGGTATTTTTGAAACTCACAAGTCTCCCTGATATTTATTAAACTTTCACTGGTCTCTCTGGAATTCCTGAAACTTCCAGAAGTCTGTGGCATTTCTGAAACTTTCAGAAGTCTCTCTGGTATTTGTTAAATTTTCACTAGTCTCCGTGGTATCTTAAACTTTCATAAGCTTCTCTCGTATTTCATAAGCATCTCTCTTAGGACGACCAACGCCTATCATATTGCAAGGCAAGTCTGTCATACTTCTGAAGCTTTCGCAAGGCCTCCGCTATTCCTCAGACTTTCACAACTCTGATATTTCTGAAACTTTCACAAGTCTCGCTGGTACTTCTGAAACTTTCCCAAGTTTCTCTAACATTTCTTAAATTTCCCCAAGTCTGTCTGGTACAGGGGTTTGCACAGGAATTGAAATTAGGGGGGTGTCTAAGTTCTACATTTTTAAGGGGGGTGTTGGGGGGGGAAGGGGGAGGGGGGAGGTCATTGTGAATAGAGGAGTCATTGCGAACTAGGGGGGTGCACTCAGAAAAACAATGGGGGTGTGTAGGGAAATCACTGCTCGGGTATTTCTTAAATTTTCAGGACGTCTTTACTCGGTTAATAAATATGGTGGGTCCTCAAATGGAGCAGGGTACAAATTGTAGCAGTTGTTTTGACACTCGCAATGTCCTAGAACATGTGCTGCAGTGGTGCATGTTCCAGGACAGTGTATCTGTCGCAGTCATGATGCACCAATCAAACATGCTTTTTTCTTTCACGTGCCATTGCAGCGTGGTGGATGTGACCAGCTACATTTACTTCACCATCTTCACGCCCCTTGTCTACAAAACATTCCTTGCCGACTTTTTCAGGTATGTGGCTGCATTGGTTGTGAGAAAACTATCTAATCTTTTTTTTTTTATTTAAGAGTGTCATAGCATCTTAAGAAAAGACCCTGGTCTTAAAAAGAATGAAAAAAAAAAAAAAAAAAAATTTATTATTACTTTTTTTTATTTTTAAATAACAAACAGCATATTTTGTTAGTACTACACTCAGGAATTGCACATGTATGTAGTTACATCAATTCAAAGTTTCATATCCAGAATGTTTGTGAGCATGTTTTGATAAGCTATTCCTGTTCACAAATGTATGATGGTCAGTAGTAAGCTTATGCTTGGAGTGGGTTCGTGCAAACCTCTCACGACTTGCTTTTGTTTGCATCTTCAATAAAAACAGGGTCTCTTACCATGCTCAAATGCATTTAATGTTGGCATTCTTTTCCTTTGTATCATAACTAGAATCCGTCGAAGAAAAATTAATGTGTTTGGTCCCCCTCTTTTCGAACGGGCTTTCAATAAGTGGTATTTCTGACTAGGGGAACAGTTTTGACTAGCTTCTTGGTGCTTCTTTTAAGGGAGGCTGTTGTGCTGACAAAAAAGAAGGGTACTGTCACGACAAACTCTTTCTGCATCCGCAATCTCTACAATATCTCTCAATATGTAAGCTAGTCCGAAGTGAACCTTAACTTTGCATTCCATTACTAGATCGGACCACGGCTTTCTCAAAAACTGGCAGAGGCATCAAAGAGGCACAAAGGACTGTTTCAGCTCTTGTTGCACGCGCCAGTACACATACAGCAAAAGCTCGACAATTCAAAGTACGAGGGAGGGGATGCTAAAAAATTGAGAATTAAACGAAGTCCGCACTAAGGAAAGTCGAAGAAAAATGACAGAATTCCGCGTCCGAAGGAACGGGGAATGCCAAAAACCGACAAATTTATTTATGAGAAGAATCAGTCATCCCCTTCCGCTTGTAGTCTCGGAAGGCGACTTGCATCGGCCTGCGTTTAAGTGCGCAAATGTAGCAGAAGGTGCCTTCACTTTCTTCGTAACCGAAGAAGACGCGCGCAACATCAAGCTACTCTGCTTGGCCGGGCTGTTGTTTCCTTGTCGTTCTCATCTGTTGGGACACCACACACCAGCGCACTGCTGTCCGTGTCGACGTAATTGGTGAAACTGGTGTCTCGCAGCACCCCGAGCACGTTCGCAGAAATGACCGCGTGCCGTCCGGGGTCGCCCATCACCTCCACGCTTGAAACGTCGAAGCCACGGTGGCAAAAACATTTGGCGATTTTTGCTGCCATGACTCAATCCCAGGCGCACATTAGCATGTGAATTGCTAGGAGGAGCGTCGTGAAGTAGTTGTTCCGATTTTTCGTGATTGAAACCAGCCTTTTGAGCGTGCGACGCCCTTAGGGCGACTTCTTATTCTTTACGACACCCCGGTTCGCCAAATACAGAACCGCAGTCATGTTTGGTGGAAGGAGAGCTAATTTAATGATCCTGGGCTCGATGCCAACCTTGAGAGCTGAGCAGTTGTCCACAATGAGTGGGGCTCTTTGATCGCTCACTTTAAACTTTTTGTCCAACTTCCTGTCCCACCGCTCAAATATCGCTCCGGTCATCCACGATTTCCATTAGCTGCGTAGTCGGTCGGCAAAGGATTGATGTTCTTAGGGCGTCAAGGCTTCGGTGACTTTCCTATAACGAAGAGGGGGAGCTTCTCCGTCGCTGTCGTGTTTTTTGCGACCGTGACGGCGACGCGCTCTTAGCTTCGCTTGCCGCCTGCGCAGTTGTCCCCCTTGTATGTGACGTTTTTGTCGGGCAGAAGCTCAAAAAACGAAACGGTTTCGTCGGCATTAGAGATGTCACACGGCTAGTAGCTATCCAGGTAGTCCTGCAGGGTTCCTGTTCTCCACATCAGGCACGTTTCTACGATCACCTCTTTACTTCCGCCAGACCCCGTACAAAAAGACAAGATTGTGCCTTTCGTGGAAGCGACAAAGCCGTAATTGTTTGGACGTATGGCGAACTCGCTCAATGGGAGATCCTGGCTTCTCATGTCTTTAGCCCATGTGATGAACGCTCAATCCAAGTCTGGGTGCTCGGCAGATCGAAGTCTCTTCCTCTCAGAAGCAACAGCTTCGGCTTCGTAGGTGTCTTCAGTTGTCTTCTCGTTTTGAACGTACGTCGACAACATGCTCTCAGCGATCTCGTACTTCTTTGCTATCTCAAACTTGCTCGCCTTCCTGGTATTGAGTTTGCACAGAATTCCTACTTTTTCCTTCAATGTTTTGGCAACGCGGCACTTTCCTCGAACCGAGGACGTTGCAAAGCCGACGGTAGTGCAGCGGCATGGCTCGCAGTCGGATCTCGATGCGGCTCGGGCAACTACGCTCGGGCTCTCTATCTCTATCTATGTCTCCCTATCAGAGACTCAAAGAACAGAGAAAACAATACACGGAGACGACAAAGAAAAATGTGATGATAGAGAGCCTATAATCAGTGACAGTTCAAGAATGAAGTGGAAGCTCCTCCCCCTCTTTTCACTTCAGCAGAGCGAACGCTGGAGAAGAGGTGACCTTCTCTCCAACGTTCGCTTCGCTGAAGTGGAAAGGGGTGGGAGGAGCTTCCACTTTGTTCTTGACCTGTCACCGACTATAGATATAAGAGAGGGTCCATCTTGTACCAATGGGAGCGTTTGCAATTTAATGGCGGATACCTCCTGCGTGATCAGTCGTAAGGGTGCACGTGCTGCATCGTCGTGTGCCGAGGAGTAAAGCAGGCGGAAAAGCGGAGACGCTTTCAGATGACCAGCGCAAATGTCGCCCCATCGCAGCTTGTATTGCAAATGCGGCCCATAAACCACGTGACCCCGATCGAACAGTTGGCAACTCTATAAGGCAGGATCTCTATGAGGCTAGGTGGCGCAAGCTGGTGTTCGTTACAAAGGATATAGCCATTAACATCCATTCATCCATCCATCCATCCATCTATCCATACGCGAGTCGCGACGGCAACGCCGCCTGTGACTCGGTTGGGAAAGCTGCCACCAGCATTTAACGAACCCCACGCACGGCGGCGCCGTGGTACAGAGTACAGTTAGAGTTATAGGTAGCAAAACTATCTCTCGAGCAAATTTCCAAAAAAAAAATTGTATTAATGAGGTTTGAGTTAACGAGCTTTGACCGTAGCGGTGCAACAAGGAGGTACTTTTTGCTGTGCCACACTATCGTGGTTGTTTGGAGTATGGTGCCTCAATTCCTTTTGTTTTGGGTGGTGACGTTCTCTGTAGCATCCGATGCCAACAGCATGCGCTCCCTGGGGAACTGCAGAGAAATAGCCGGAAACAAAAAATGACGCTAAAGCACAGTCAATACCAGGGGTCCGTGCTGGGTGATGCTGTTTCATGTGTTGCGGAACAAAAGAAATATAATATGTTCAAAAGGAAATGGTCACATGTTACCTTTCTAATTAAAATGCACATGAAGGCACCCTAGTTTGGAGGCCAGTGGCGAGCAGTCGGTCTCATTCAGCTTGTCTTTGCCGCCTCCCCTTGCACGCACCCGTGGTGGACATCTGGGAAAACAGCATCTCGCAGCCGAGCATCCTGTTCTCGTACAAGGCGCAGACGGACGAACCGATCGAGGACGATAACGTGAGCCTTCCTCACCAGCTGTCCTGCTCCTCCCTCAAGACGGACTCAGACTACATCTACCAGGTATGCATTCTAAATTTTAAATTTGAATGCAGAATGTGTTTTATCAGCCGACTTTCCAGAGTTCTGTAACGTTTGGCTGTAACAGGCGGCTGTAACGAAAAGCCGACACCGAAAAGCGTTACGCCTGTAGGGGACCATGTGAAAAGTCCAGTCCCCTGGCAGGATTTGAACTCACCATTGTGAGTCGAATGCTTTGCCGACAGAGCAGTCCAGGGGCGATGGTCGGAGCAGGCAAAAGTGAACTCATTCACAAGGCGCGTGAAGGCGCGGTCGCGCGCTTCGCGGCCTTTTCCGTTGTGCTAGGCCATCTCACGGCATGTCAGAAATGGCAGCCGATCGTCGGTGGGCAGTGTCATTTAGACACCCTTCTCTGCTTCCCTGGTAGATCTGCCGCTCTTTCTGTGCTTACACCAGTCTTTGTCGGCGTAATCAAGCTTGTATGATTTTCTTCTTTTTTTTTTTTTTTTTCGTTACAAATTGGCTTTTCTAGGCAACTGTTTTGCTGGTTTTACCCTGGCCTTTTATTTTCATTTGGATAAAGTCTGCAGTGCTAATGCGGGAGCAGACCGAGGCACTTCGTTTTCCTTCCCTTTTTCCACCTGGCCTCAATTATTTGTATCTACCATGTATAGAGTAGGCCCCTGCTTTTTTTCTCTTTTTTTTTAAGCAGAATGCCTTTTTTTAGGTTGGTTTCAAAGTCTAGAGCTTCACGAAAAGTTGTTGCAAAAACATGATAAGATGGGGTCTTGCAGTCCCGTGACTTTGTGACATGACTTGAGGTAATGCGTCGTCACGGTGTCACATTGTGGTGTCATGTCATGTCACTTGATGTGACCTCAAGCAACACTTCAATGGGACAATGTGATGTCGCATGACCTGGCATCACAGGACCACCATCATCGTGATGACGTTGTCTGATGCACTACGCTCAAGTGGTTGGTGCCACAGGTCACATGACAAAAATAACAATCCCCAGTGTGCATTCTACAGAATTCTGACTTTATGCTTATTGAAACGGGCAGCAAGTCCCGGTGGCAAAATTCCTTTAGCAAAAGCGGGCTGTATTAAGCTGTTCAAAAAAGTTTTTCTTTTGCGACCCAAGTCTTTGATGAGACTTAGTGACTTCCTGCATCCGGAAACAGACTTTGCATCTCCTTTCATCAATCAAACAAAAAAGTGACGCAATGATTCTGCTTTATTGAGGCACGTCCTAATCGTTGAATCGCCCACGTTGATCAGACACGTCACAATTATTATTAAAATTGCCGCGAGATTTAATTTTTTTGTTTGTTTGTGTTTTATAGGAGGGAGATGTACTGAAAGGGGAAAAGGTATTCTTGGGGGGCAAAGGTGTCTATGGGAAGTTTCTTTTTCCCTGCACTCCTGCACCACATCTTTTCGTAGCATGCTCTCGTCCTATTGAAGTGCCTCAAAAAGTTGACTTTAATTACTGTACTGGCTCAAAAATACGGCAACATTTTTTATGAATGTTTTTTGCCACACAACGCGCGAAGAACCGATCATTGCGATTCACGAAAGGAGACCAGTGAACAACAAAGCACAGATTACGTTTGAACCCAAAAACGCAACTTGTATTCAAAGTCTTGCAACGAGATTATGGGCATGCGAATGTCATGCTTAGTTATGCGGTGTAAACGGCCGTTTCGAGTCCATATGTCATCCATGCTTTGTCGTTCGCTGGCCTCGATTTGCAAATCGCATTGACTGGCTCTTGACGTGTTCGCAGAAAAGACACTAGGATCTGATATGCCGAAATGTCACCTCTTTCTTTTCTAGCTAATATGGCATGCACCCTATCTGCTGCATGGACCCTATCTAACTCCAAAAACTAACCCTTGTTTGATTCCTGCTCGTAACAAACGTTTCTTGCATGCCCCCCACCACCTCCTCCTCCTCCTCCTCATTGAACCTCCCTCAGCACGCTCCTCACTTCCTGTCACTCTGAAGTCACACCTGCATGGTTTGCCCAACCCTAGACGGTGTCCGCCGCCACCTGCAAGTAAGTTCTGGGCTTGGCTGGCATGCTCTCTCGTTTGGTTGACCCACCATGGTACCCCTGCGGAGGATACGAGCAGAAACACCCGATCCAGACATTTTGCGCGTCTGCGGTCCCCGCAAGCTCTTTCGATTTCTCGATAAGTCCGAAGAACGGAACCTCAACTTTGCACTCCGCTCCTAGATCCGACGACAGCTTCTTCGAAAAACTGGCAGGTGTGTCGAAGAAGCGCGAAGGACCGTTTCAGCTCGTGTTGTCCGTCATAGTACACTCGAGGTCAGTATACGTCTCGAGTGTGCATAGTGCTCACTGAACTTGTGCAGAACACAGTGACAATCTCCTTCCGCGTGAATGGTCACGAATGAAATTAACATTATTATTATTATTATTAAAAGTAATATTATTACTACTGCATTTTGGTGGTGCTGTCAGCGCTTCATGACGTAGCAGTAGTTATAACAGCTCAAGCAATGGCAGGCCGCTCACTCGTGGCTGAAATTGCGGCTGGACCGTGGACGCCGCAGTGATTCTGCCCAAACGGCCGGTCGATAATTATCGCCACCTTTTCGCACAGAGGTGCACAGGCGGCTGCCGAAACTGTCGGCAGTTGGACGACTCAATCTGTAGGCTCGTGTTTCTACAGAAGAAAGCATTTAATAACCGATGGTTTCGGAAGTCGCTCATGCGCAATAGTGCGAGGGGAGGGCAAGAAGGCTACCGTAATATCCCGGGATATGCCCCACCCCCGAAAGATAGCCCGCCCCCTATTTTAGCATGATTTGCTATTTTTTCATAAAAATCAAAAGATAGCCTACTTCCAGTAGTTGCAGGGCCCTAACCAATGGTGACCTCAGCAAAGCGGCGTTACTTAACCACAGCGGGAGATTAGTGTACATTGCACACTAGAAAGGACAGTCGTTTTTGGTTCATTGCCCCTTCCCATGATCACAAGTTTCGAGGGTCACAAAATCTAAAACTAGCATTGTTCCGACTTTTTTTTATGCCACATCGAAAGTTAGCCCACCATTTATTTTCAAACGACTTGCTATCGATTTTAGGTGCATTATCTATTGGGATATTATGGTAGACCGCCTGCTAGGCAAAATTGCTGGACTCTGTCCGGTCCAGCTGCGATCTTGGCCTCGAGCGAGCGGCCTCCCCTACTTGGGACTGTTTCGTTGAGAGCTACGTCACGAAGCAGTTCTTCGGCTGCCTTTGGTAAGACGCAATTTGTGTGTTCCGTATAGTAGGTCTGGTGAGTCACTGTACCTCTTTAGTTGATGACCTCCTGGTGTGATTGGCATGCTCTTAGGCTTGCTCGGTGCACCCTGTAGCATGATTGTTTGTAACATCACTGGTACGGCTTGCTATCGTTGGTCTTGTACCTTGAGGCTTTGTTGACCAATGGCCATCGGACACTGTTTGTGCATTTGCTTACCTATTGTTTTGGCATTGTCTGTCATAGGTGCCCTTCCCAATCGTAAGGTATACTTAACTCTAAGTATGCATGCATACACTAACTTTTCCGGGTTTTTTTTCTAAATCATTTTATTTGAGAAAGGTGCTTTCTGGCTTATAAAGCATGAGCAATTATATTTAAGATTAACCATGATGATCAATGCTTATGGGGTAAGATTTGTCACTGTCTCTGTTATAATTATTTTTTTTTTTTTTTACTTTATGCTTTGGTATTGTTTTAATTGTAAATTTATCGACTCTAGGCAGCGTAAATCCGGAGGTTTCAGTTCATAAAGTAAACGGAGCGTAGGTACATAAATAACAGAAAAAAAGGCAGGCAAGCCGGTGAACTTTAATCCGTATAAAAATCTGAGATTGAGGGAACAAAAAGAATCAGACAACACGCGCAAAGATCTCAAATGCACCCGTGTTTGCGACCTTTGTGCATGTTGTGCAATTTTTTCTCGTTTCCTCTATCTCGTGTTTTCCCGGCAATAAAATGCAGCATTATTGGTAAAGCACTGTCCCGTCATGTTTTTTCTTCGTAGTCCGCATTTTCTGAGCTTTTTTTCCCATCATTATGGGTAGCTCTGGCCAAAACTGACTTTTTAACTGGTGCGAACCGGAGCCACCGAGTGAGCTACACTCCGGAGTAGCGACGCTTGAGTCATCCTGGTTTTCAAAGTTATGGTTGCAGTGGTGTGAAGCTTTACCTGAAATCACAGGAAACAGTTTCACATCCTCCGGGAATGTTAAGGCGGTCCGCGACAAAGCAAAGCGATGTCGTCCATGCTTCCCGACCCCGTTCCTGAAACTCAAAAAGTCCCATTTTCAAGCTGTAACAATCGCCAATTGCACCCGCTGTTCACCAAGCAAGGTGGAGAATTAAAATCCTGACGATTTAAATTGCGATTTCAGTCACGCCTCTTTTACTACGACGATTTGAATTGAGCTAATCCCACCAAAGTAGCCTAGGAAATGTTATTTATTTACTGTTTATCGTTTCACATTTTCTGTGTGGGCACTTGTTTAGTATATAGATTGAAGAATCACCAAACGAGAAATAATTGTATCTGCTGGACGTAACGGTGGTGCTTTTCTGAGGAAATTGGAAAGTTGTGTTTTTTTCTTTCCCCCTTGGTTCGTTACATAGTTTCCTATGCTAGCAAATAACAATGCAAAAGAAATAAAGTTTTTGTTTTACAGTAATTCTTTCTTGCCTATTGTTTTCGGTGATTGGATCGATTGACCAATCAATCTGTCATGTTTAAAAATACATCTAGCGATAAAGAATCACTGTTTGTTAGGTGCCGTAATTTAAATTAAAAAAATCGAAATATGTAAATTTTAAACTTTTTTTTTTTTTATTAAAGAAACAATGAAGGCAATTTCGGATATTTTTTTGGCGATTGAACTGGGTTCCAGGCACATCTCAGGCCATGTTGCCCAAATTTCTGCTGAAACCGGCGCTTCTGTGCCGCGCAAATCAATTAAACAATCGCGGTAATACTAATCGTACTGGGATCGACTGTGGCGACGCCCCAAAAGTTACAGGAGAAGCCAAGAAAAGCGGAGCTCACGTGGCTGTTGAGGGGCTAAGAAGCACGACGTCACAAAAGACTGATCAGCGATTGGTTGAAATGACGGACATGCTCTCGGTCACGTTTTGGTTCGCGATTTTTAGGAATGCTCTTCTAATTTCCACTTGAATAACCATGAAAAGTATAAATCGGTCCGGAAATGATTACTAAACCGTAAATAGAACAGCATAATTGTTTTTCTCTTTGCTATGCTGGACGTGAAACGGGCAACGAGCACCCGTAGACAAACAAAAAATAAAATAAAAAAAGACCACGCGGGGGAGGCGTTTGGTTTTAGTTTCAGATGTCGGTGCCGTGTTTACTTCGGGAACACGGTACTTAAAGGATTCTGCAAAATGGTAGTCATGCCAAATTTGTGCACTGTAGATGGTTGTTCTAACATTCGACTGAAAACCAGTAATCGTTCGGGCGCACTAGTTTTCACGTGTGGGTTTCCGTTCGTGTTCTTTGACGACGAAAAGAGAGGTCGTCCGACTTTGGTGAAAACCAAAAATGGTGCTGTTTATTTTCTCCTTGGGGAGTATCCCCCGCGGTGGAACCGGTTCCCGGAGTGAGTCGCTGCCGCTTTCCTCTCGGCGCCTCCCCCACGTCCCTGTCCTTCAGCAATGTGCCGCTCTCGTCTCACCCGCGCGAATGTTGCTCACTGCTTCCCTGTTTGGAGCCCGCAGGCCGCCCGTTGCCGGCTGGGCGGTCTCCGTCGGGTGATGGCGGAGGCCGCCATACACATACTCCCGTTCTGTTGGTGTTAGGTCACTGAACGGAAGCCCCAACTCGCTCGCGAGAGCGGCATTGTCGTCCATGTTGACAGATCTGACGAAACGACCGCGCCAACCGCGCTGCTGTAACCCACCGCGGTAACCAGAGTCTTGATCTCCTAAATACTACCGATACCGGCTATTCACAGTTGACGTCGCTCCCTACGTCACCTCCGTTTTCAGAGGCCCAGAAATGAGGATAGAGATAGTTCAGTTTTGGTTCCTTCAGTTCTTTCGGAGGCACAGAAATATGCGTCACTAATGTCTGAAAAAAATTAGGCTGTGTGCTAGGTTCCCAAGAAGCCTAAAAACACCATTTAAAAGAATTTAATAAAATTGTCTTCATTGGCCCTTTAAGCACCAAATTGGTGGCACCCACCAGAAAATTGTGGAATGGTGTGACGATGCTCTAAGCCATGGGTTCTCAAATTTTTAGATCTCGCGGAGTGCCAATCTTCGATTGCTCATCTGAGTGACTACTCACGGTCTCGGCGCTGATTCAGTATGGCGTTGGAGAAGCCTACGGACCTTGCAAAGAGAATTGCATGTACTAAGGAATCCTTGCCACATAGTTACGTTTAACGTCTCACTCAGATCTGCTAAAACGAGATTTAAACCGGAAGAACACTGTACTTGGGTACAGGGAGGGTCAAATCAATTTCGGAGCTCCGGCAACTCCCCGGGGGCTGTTGGGGAACACTCAGATTCCTAGGAGGAACCCAGTAACTGAATACCGTTGCTTGTCGCTCAAAAAGTAACCAAGTTTTTATTCGTTACTGAAATTCCGACAGATTGCGTTACCTCAGCTTGAAAGTAATGCGTCATTTTCTCGTTGCTCCAAACGTGTCGTATTTTTTAAGCGGTAGCCGTCTCCGGTACTTGTCGGCATTAATAGCTTCTTTGCTTTCTATCGCGTTTGTTTTAGTGTTTTAGGGATAACTGTGGCAATACTGGCATATACCCTTCTGCACATATTTTATGGTCTATCTCAGGGGTGGCCAAGCTGCAGCTCGCGATCCGCATGAGGCTCTTCGTGTGTTAAAGTGCGGCTCGCGGCTCCCTTCCCTACCTCCCCCCCTCTCCCCTGCCTCTCTCCCGGTCACACGCGCACTTTTCCAAAAAGAGAAATGGAACGCGTTTTAAATCGAAAGACAGGTTGCGGTTTGGTAGTCTTGTGCTACTGCTACCTTACATACAATTACAATTGGACTGCTTTTGACTTGGGTAGATTGAAGATAGTTCAAGTTTCGTTTACTGCTCTAGACAAAAGTACGCCCCCCCCCGCGGCTCTTGGAAGTTTCGTGGTTTTGTTTGCGGCTCTTAGGCCGGGTCAGCCTGGCCACCCCTGGTCTATCTAATGTTTTCTCATCATACAAATTACAGGCATGAGCTGAGGCGAGAACTGGGTCAGGTACTTGTGTTGTACATGTTCCCTTCCAGAAGTAACTGAACGCAGTCACTTAATGCTTCGTCAAGAAGTAACGAAAATATGTTAGCCATTGCTTCTCTTAAAAAGTAACTCATAAAGCTTTACGTACGAGTCTGCCCTGAGCGTAGCCTATTTTGTGCCTGCAGTGCAAACCTCTTGTCTCTCTCTCTAAACCCTGATGCTGTGACCCTCATCCGCCCCCTCCCCTCTACCGTGACCCCGACGCAGAACAACTCGGTGTACGACAGCACCCACTTCGACTCGGCCAACGTCAACCCGCTGTACGCGCAGTCGCTGCAGTCTCCGGACAGCGTCGTCGGCTTCGACTACTGCGGAGCCTCGCAGCGCCCAGGATACCAGACGACGCTCGCGGCGCCGTCTCAGCAACAGCAGCAACACCACCCGCAGTCACCGCCGTCCGGCAACAACGTGCCCTGACGACTGGTGGACCCATTGTGCAGAAAACACTAGAGGCTTCGCGTGGTATTGCAGACGTCGAGGTAGATGCGAATCCCGAAGCAGCTGGCAGACGCTGGGGCCATGGGTGCTCTTACAGCGATTAGCCGGCAGACAACGGTAACATTTAAGTCTCGCCAGTAGTCACGGGCAGCAGAAAGTCTTACCTCGGGCAAGCGGGAAGTCTCGTCAAAGTGGGGGGTGACCAGCGGGCAGAGGCCATTATGGGTCTGTGTGTTGATTTGGCAAACGTCTGGCATTAGGTCTTGGTCTTGGCTACGAACTTAAAGAAACACGTAGTCTGCCAAGCAGACGGGGAGGGTCGTCTTATTTGCGACAGGAATTAGAGTCACGTCGGCTGAGTTGCTCTGCGGGTTTAGCTTTGCGACGGTAGGGGGCAGAACCTGGTTTCCAGTCCGTCCCACCGCTTGCCCGTCGTTCAGTATTTACTCCTCGGTCCATCGGGAGCAGACGTCCGAACGGAGAGGTGGTCCTGTTGCGGTCACCGTGGTAGTCACCGTGTCGAGCAGGCAGTGCCACGGTACACCAGAACTCGTATAGTCTGTTGCAGGTGAAGAAAATCAGGACATGCTCGCCACACCCCCCAAAGCCTTCCACTCTTTCCACTGTAGCAGAGCAAATGCTGGAAAAAGGGCGAGTGGAGAGGCGGAAGCTACAAATCATGGCAAGCAGACAGCTTTGTGGGAGGAGCCGTCCCGCTTTTCTTAGCCTACCGCAGACCGTATCCGTCTATGCGCGAGCTTCTCTCTAGCCGTCGGAAGCGTTGCTAAGGTAGGACGAAGGTCTTCTGTGTTGGAGGTCGGCGTCGACGGGATAGTTTACAAGCGGATACACGCAGCTTGCCTACGCCCCTTTTCCACAGCGACGCTGCAGAGACGACGGTAGTGCAACGTCTCGTAACTCAGTTTTCTTTCCGTGCAGAACGGCAGCGCATTTATCCCGCATGCTGTCGACGCAGCTGAAGCGACGGTCCAAATCACCCTCTTAGTCACGTGCAACTCGGTGCCGTTCTTGTGGTTCCGTATATATTTTGCAGCACGGTCCTTCTAGTGACTCGTAAGTTTGCCGCAGGAGGAATTGTTATCCGTTGTGATAATTGCGCGAACAAATTTCTAACCGCCAATGCAACGGGGATGGGGGAAACGGCAGCGGACGGCAGAGCCCTCCTCCAGTTAAGGGACGCAACGTGATTTTATACCATGGTATTCGGGAAGTTGCGTCGTTGCGCCACCCCTCGTCATTAGTGCGTGGCCACTGTCGTAATCATTTTGGGTGTTGCGCCGAGGCGACGCAGTTTGGTAGGCAACGACGGAGCTGGGTTTTAGGTTTACAAGGGCACAGTGTCAGTCTTTGTTTGTCTCTCAATTTCCACTACTCTTTTCGAGTGCCTCCGCACGCTTCAATCAGAAAATCGTGGACTCCTTTGTTGTTTTTATTTTGCGTTTTGTTTGGAGGCGGGGGGAGAGATTTTTTTTACCCAAGCGCCGTTTTTGTTACGCCTTGGTGCCGGTTTGGTTCACGCCGAAAATATTCTATGTCGTACTAAGTTCCTGGAGGGTGCGGACCCTCTCTTATATATATATATATATATATATTTATGTGCGAGCAGTTTGCGTGCGAATTTCTTTATAGCTTTTCTTTTCATTTTTAATTGTTACAATCATTTCATTGTTTTTTTGTTTTATTTTTCACCCCACAAACTTTTGTAGAGCGTTGCCCACAAAGTGCACTCCTCCAAGGTCACTTGCAACTTCAGGATTACACAGCAGCGGCCCTCACATTATTTCATGAGCAATGTTGAGCGGGTCTGGAGACAACATACCCTAGTATATAAAGAGTGTAGTAAACTTAATCTCGTGCTATGCGAGTTATTCGTCCAAAATTTCATGGTTGCAATCGGTGAAGAGTCGCAACTCACGAAGACAGTCTCTGAAATCGTATAAGAGAGATCCCGAAGAGTGATGGAACCCGTTAATAGGGCTATAGTCACGATGGGAAAAGAATACCGTGTGGGTTGACGGGTCGCAGTTCTTGTCCAAGCAAAGATGAGATGTGATGTTGCAAGACATTCCACGGTGTGAATAGACGTTTTCTTTCGCTAGGTGGCACCGATGGTTGCGCTACTTTTTGAGTGCGGTACTCCGACATGGGGGGAATGTCGACGTTTCGGCGGTGCTTATGGAGTCTGCCCCTACCAGATCGCTGCACTCTTGTGTGTCTGTGCCCTGGGAGGGGGCTTTGGAATGTTTAATCATGCTTTATCGAAGGAAGTTGTAAAGAGATTGTACATAAAAGATGACTGTACTTAAATGGGAGAAAATATGCCAAAGTCACTATGTATTTTGAAGAGCATTTTCATGAGGTGAAACAATAAAAGTATATATAATTCCCATGGTAAACTCGTTGCTTCATTTGTCCAATTTGCCGACGATTTTTGCTTGTTTTTTTTTTTTTTAATGGGGGCTTCTGAGACCCTGTGTTGTGTTACACGTTATGCCATTTTCAGAAATGTCGGTTCAAGAGATTTTGGCATGAACTACTGCACATGGGTGCGACATAAATGAACGCGAGCTCTCCTTTGAGCAACAAAGCCAGATCTGTTGGTTCTGTTGAGCCGCAGTGACCCACGTTAAGTTCCCCAAATGTAACTTTTGTGTGCATTGTGGCTCATCTTTTGTTTCCGAATTTGCACAAAGAAACTTATTCTCTCTCTTTCCTAATAGCACTTTTTGTTTTAAACCAAGAAATCTTCCAATGTTTCTGTTAGATTACGTTTCCCAACAGGTGGCACCAGTTCTTTCTAAAAGGGTGTATTGCAAGCCTGGTGTTGTGGCTAGTGCCCTGTGCATGGAGCACATGCAGCAGCAAGAATGAGAAGGTATTCATGACAAGCTTGTGGTTCCTTCACAAGCAAACGTATAACAGTGGCCAGAATGCCATACTTGCAATGCTTTATACCCAGGGGCGTACTTAGCATTTCGCCGCCCTAGGCAGCCTTTAACAGTGTGCCCCCCCCCCCCCAACTCCCGCTTTCCACACTCGATGACCACGGGGAGCTGGGTTGTTGGGGTGGGGGGGGGGGGGGGGGGGGGGGGGTAGCTAAATTTGGGGTTCAAATTTTCAGAAGTAGCTAAATTTGGAGCTAGAATTCACAAAATATCTAAATTCATAGCTAGATTTAAAGAAAAAAAAGTTAGTTGGGGGCAGCTTCAAACTGGCTGCCCCCAAAATTTTGCTGCCCTAGGCAAGGTCTTCATTTAGTGTTTTCCATGGTTCTGTGGTGACCTTGGAGGTTTATTAACTGTGCTAAAAAGTGTCAAAATAGGAAGTGCTATGATGCTGCCAATATTACTCCTAACTGCTTTTACAAGCATTTTGTGCCATCTTTATTCTTTATTGTCCTCATTCTTCAAGGTTTTTAAATGAACACGAAATGCAAACATAAAAATGCAAAGTTGGCTTTTTTTTTCCTCTAATACCTTTTTAGGTTGATAATGTTTTTTTTTTGCAAGCATTTGTACATTTGTTTTTGGCAAAGCCATAATCGTAACTATTGATTCGTACAATAAGACATGATCTGATTTTCCCCCACTCGAGTTATATCGCATCGTCAAGCGTTCTTGTTTCCTTCAAGAAAAAAAAAAATGCCGGACTACACTTGCACACTAAGTCGGTGACAGGTCAAGGACGAAGTGGAAGCTCCTCCCACCTCTTTCCACTTTAGTAGAGCGAATGCTGGAGGGGAGGCGACCTCCTCTCCACCGTTCGCTCCGCTGAAGTAGAAAGGGGTGGGAGGAGCTTCCACTTCGTAACTCCAGCGAATTCTCGGGGGCGCGCTCAGGCAAAATGGCGGGCGAAAGGAGGTCGTTTTCGTCGTTCAGCACGCGAACCACCATAAATTTCTTGCACTGCAGCAAAATATTGGTGCTACATATAAAAGTAAAGAGATTTTTCGATGGTAGAAACCTTCTTCTAGTCAGTGTGTAGGAATGACATGGCAGAAGCATAAAAATAATTACTGGAGCGATGTTTGTTTCTATGCTGCCTACAAGAACCAAGCAGTGATAGCAGACGACAAAGCCAAAACGACCTCCTCTCTTGAGCTCGGCGTTGCTGCCGTTGCTGCTCCGTGGCGTCGATTTCGCTGGAGTCGCCAATAGTCGAGTCGATTTTGTGCGTATCTAGCACAACCCCCCCCCCCCCCCCCCCCCCACCCATACACACACCCAGTGTTGGGTAAAGTACATCTAAAAAGTACCTGAGTAAGGTGCAAAGTAAATGAGGTTCTCTGCTTCAAGTAAACTAGTAAGTACACCAGGCATTATTTTACCTATTTACTTATTTAAAACATACTGCCAACCGTGAAGCCAAAGCAGGAGGGTATCCTCAAGCACTTAAAATCGTACAGGCTGGCATAGCATCCCACATAGAATAAAAGGTATTTACTGGACACCATATTTGAGGGTGATGTTTAGTGCGCATGCCGCGCATGCTAACAACGAGCTCACATTAATAGGCTGCTATGACCGGCAATCTTGAAGCTGTGGAATACTCGTTGCAAAAGAACTCTGGAAGTTCGCCGTATGTGCTCGGCAGTCGCGCACACAGGTATGGCTGCTAGTGGATACTCCCTATAACAAAGATTCTATAAAATCGGGCATTTGCATTATTTACTTGAAGTATAAAGTACTATAAATATAGTGTACTTTCAGAATACAACTACTTTTAAACAATCTTTTGTGTTGCCCTTTCATTCCCCTATACAGTTTTTTCTTTTTCTTTTTGTATGCATTGCTTTGGGGCTAAATGGGGATGCGTCCGTTAGTTCTTAAAATGGCGGCGAACATAATTCGGACGTCAGCCTTGTAGCTTCAAGCATTCCTCTCACGTTTTCTAAACCTACTTGATGTAGTATTTTAGGTCAAGGGTTTCTCAAGGAATTAAAATTAGGGGGGGGAGGGGGGTGGCGGCATTGAGAATGGAAGAGTCATTGCGAATTAAAAGGGTGCCTTCAGAAAAAAAAAAAAAAAAAAGGAAAAGGGGGGGGGGGGTAGGGAAATCAATGCTTTAAGTACTTCCCAACACTATCAGAAAGGCACGACTGCAGGTAGTTATTTTTATTATTCAAATAATTAAAGGACAATTTAGTACCATTCAGTTACAAATAATGTCAAAATGGGGAGAAAAAGAAAAAAAGTTTTGTTTCGTCGAATCAAATGCGCTGTTGTCCACGCACACCTTATTTTTCACTCTTGGTAATAGGAGGGAAAAAAATCGTTTTTTATTCATAGTTTTTAATTAGGCAGAGCACCATCGCATGCCTGCAACGTTTCAGGTACCAGTATCTTGTTTGGCTCCTAGACGAGCATTAAAACAAAAAAGTATAATTATAATTTTTGGCCTTGTAGCTTGCATGGACAGTGGAATTGTGTCTCCAATGATTAGTGGTCGGTTGACTGTGCCGAGTGCGCTCGCCAATCCGAGGTCACCCTAAATGATCTTCGGACGATCGCGACGGCGGTTAATCTCCTCGAGTCCGATGGCTTCAAGGTTTTGGATTGAGCGACCCCGCGATAAAAGACACACTCGATTTGAGCGAGAGTAACGCAACACCCCTTTCGGACGCCAAACGTAGTTCGAGCTTTCGTCGCTGTGTGGAAAGGGCCTGCGAATGTACAGAATAACTCTTATTGAAAATAATTGACTACAGAAAACAGTGAGAAAAAGTCGATCTTCCTACGCAGAATCATTGACGATGAAGACGTTGATCTGATTAGCTCGAGTGTGCCAAGGTTTCAAGTCTGTATTTTTGATTAGTTTCGATGTGAAAAGGAACTTTTCCGAATTGTTCACTTCCATCGGTCGCATGGTAAGAACTTACGGGAGAAGACGCGCGCACCCATTCCGAAACCGAAACAACATTGTTTCGCTTCGTCGCCGTGAGTGGTGCTGTCGGAACGCCTTTGAGAGAAATAAGGAAATTAAACGGTGATAGTGATGTAAGAAAATGAATCTATTTTTTGTTGTTACGAGTCACTGAATGTGGCCCTAAGTGCGATCTTGAAGATTGACAAGCATGTCAAGGCATTTACAGTTTTCCTGTGCCAACATCTGCTTGATGCCTATGGCTTGATGCAAAGCAAAGCATTCAGCTGCAGTTAAACAATTGATAGATGGCGCAAAACGCTGCCCGATGGCCCGATTGGAAGTGTTTGTGTTTGTTTATTCATCCATCCACTGTCACCATCATCATCATCACACTCGCCGAAAAAGAAACGACTCAAGAAAGAGCTGAATCCGCCGGAGAAAGTAGTGCGCCCAAACTACGCAACTGTTTTGGCTCGCCAGCAGGAAGTCTCGTCCGACACCGACGACGCTCACTTCGTGGCCATCGCGACGGCAACGACTGCGGCCATTCCACAGCGAAAGCTACAGAAAAGAAGCGCCTGGCTGCAACCGCACCAACAAAACAAGAACCATCTATCTCCGCCATCGTCGGCGAAACTCGTCGTCGTAGCGGGGGAAAGTGCCGTGTCCGCTGCCGCCACCACCGGAGCAGCTGCGGGCGCTAGCCTAGCTTCTGCCAACGCTGGCTTTTCGTTAAGCCAGCGCACCATGACGTCCGAGCACACGAATCGGCCCAGGTGATCGTAACGGGGGGAGTCTGGGGTGAAATTTTCGGTGCCCGGCTAAGCCTAAACTGGTGCCTGTGTCGTCGACGGACGCTCCTCGGCCCTTGCGAGGCCTTCAGCGCTGTGAAGGCTCGGTCCCTGCGCCAGCGCAGAGGCAGGGGCAGCGATTTCGACATGAACTCGTCGACGAAACGTGCTACAGGTAAGGATCTTTGCTTCGGTGGGAGTCGAAGTCGTGTGTGGCATGGCCGTACGCACCCCTCCCCCGGGACTACGGTCATTTCGGCCCAGGATCGGTCGGGTTGTTTTCCGTCCTTCAACGTGCCTCTTGTTAGCCCTGGAGCACCCCCCCCCCCCCCCCCCTTTTTTTTTTTTTTTTCGTTCGCTTTTACTTTGCTGGGTTGTTTTATTTGACGTTTTAGCACCCCGCAGCATCGCTTTTGTATAGTTCCGAGAAGGTTTCGACGTGCGATATCATCGTTTGTGCGGTTGTTTCTCGTTTCCGTGGTGCGGCCAACGCCACCACCACCACCACTGTCGTCAGTCGTGCGCTGCGGGTGACATTTCGTCGTCCTCTGCTCTCGCATCTCCACCCACAGTCACCTGCAAAGAAAGACAGCAGTTATGGTCAACGTTCATCTCGTGTACGAGGTGTGTCTTACCTATATCTGCGGTTTAAAAAAAAGAAACCGTATGTGCTTGGTGGACTTTGGACAAAACATGTAACTCGTGTTTGCACTTAAAAGTTGTTTTCATTTCGTACGCGAAAAAAAAAAAAAAATCGCTATTGAATTTTATTTGCGGTGTCGCGTCTCACCGACCGCCCCCCCCCCCCCCCCCTCTTTTCTTTTTTTTGTAACGTTGCTTTTTTGCGGCGGCGGCTGAGGAATTTGGGTATGTTTTCTACGTGACTGCCGCAAACTCTAGCAACGATTAGCTTGCTCGCTGCTTTCTTTCTTCTTCTACTCCCCCTCTCCCCTTTATTCCACTCCCTCGCCCTTTATATTTTTCTGTTTTTGTGTGGCGTTTTTGTCCCCGCACCCCCACCCTCCCGTCTCGCTGGTGGAGCTGTTGTTTATTTTATCGGGCCTTCACCCTATTTTGCGTGTGACTCACGCGCGCTGACTCGTCGCCGTTCGGAGATCGTGTTCAGGCGGATGCGACACGATCTGCGATTGAAGCGATTCAAAACACGACAGAAAAGAGAGACTTGTTTGCGCCGTCTGCAAAGGAGCCGATGCAGAAGTTGGTCTGCAAACAAGCAAATTGACGTTTCCGTCGCTGCGGCGTTGCACTCGCTCGTGTATTTATTTATTTATTTTTTCGGTGTCGAGTTTTGAAAGTTTGGACATTTGTATGGTCGTGCGTAAGCCCCCACGAAGCTTTTCACGTGGTGACGTCCGTTTCCCAAGCACAAAGCACCCCGCATATGTCGCACCTATACAGGCTCCAAAGGTAGTACTGCCTTGGTTCCTTGCTATGTCCTACTCGATGTTTCTTTATTTGTTTCATGCGAGGGGGTCGAGAATTACGAACGCTACAATTAATGGCAGTGGCTAAAAATAACGAGTAGTGAAGGGACTAAAGCCCGTTTTGGGGCGTGCGCTCGGGGGATAATCGTCTCGCTTTTAGAGAACGAGAGCTTTGCTCGGAGGTAGGCGCGGATTGAGATCGCAATAAAAGCAAAGTACCATCAGGCGAGAGGAATCGCCAACATAAATAAAAAATGTACAGCCCGAAAACGACTTCTCAGTCTCGCGAAGCCTGCCTCCCCCGGGGTGGCATTTACGCGGGGGGAACTTTATTATTTTTGTCGTTCATCATCGGCGGCGGCGGCGATGTTATGTATTTGGGCGGTATTAAGTGGTCGGCCGACGCGATACTAGCCCAAGGGATGGACACACACCCGAACGCAGGTATAAGGAACGCAGTATCAATTTTGACAGCGAGGAGTGCTGGAGAAGTTTGAATAGGGAACAGGGGGAGGGGGGTGTTGAGGCCGCACCGTTTGTTTAGGCTGGTCCTTGGAATTTCTTTCGCGTCACGTTTGCTGGTGTCTGATGACCCGTTTCTACGGCGTGCGCGCCGTGAGTTTCAGCAAGAAAAGAAACCGTCCAGTCTAGACTGAAACGTTACGTGGGCTAGTTGGTTCGTCTGCCGCGTTTTGTGTGTGTTTTTTTTCTTTATAGTTTCATCCATGTTTTGCTCTTGACAATGACCTGATTCAGCAGCCGGGCCGCCGGTGGAACTCTTTCGCAGACGACGCGGAGTGCTAGCAGACGATTTTGTCTGTGCGTCGTCTGCTATCCCTGTGGTCTGGTTTGCCGACGCGCCCGTCCTCGTCGTTTCGCTTGTGTTCGTGTGGTTAGATTTAGTCGTTTTTGTTTCGTTTCGGTGATCGTAGGCATTGTTTTATGCCTTTCCGTCGTGTTGATTTTCTTTATTGTGTAGCTTTGTTTTTCTTGGCGTTCCGGTTTGGTTTCTTTTCGACGGACGCTGTTGGCCCGCCATGCATGTTGCCGGTCGGATTTCCCGGGAGCAACGCTTGAACGGCTAGTGAGTGTCAATAGCGGTCGGTCGCATTTGATGATTGTGTTCACCGAAGATTTATTCTTGACTTTTTGCATGTCTGGTTCCTTGTTTGTTTCGTGCCACGGCGAGCCAGCTGCGTCTCATCCTCTTCACGCTCAGCTTTCCAGCTATCTCAGCTAGGTTCCGAACGTTGAGTTCGTTGTTTTAAAATATGGTCTTCAAAAACGAAAGCCATACTTTTTAAGTAGAACAGATCTATTAATAATGATGTAGCCGAATAGGGTATTGTGCCTCTCTTTATGGCAACCATATCAAGTTGGACTGAACTTGTGAGACTACCGGAAACAAAAAATATGGGGTGCTAGCGCATCTTTGCCTCGCTGCGAGAGTCTTCTGCTTACGAGCGTTACCCTTACTTTTTCCGCTGCTCTGAAATGATTGCACATGTCTGAAGTTACATCTGGCTTGTAACGAACCTTGCTGTCGTGTCTGTTTAGTGTGTGAAAGGGGTCCGCAGAGCAACAAAGACAGTCTGGGGACTGACTGTATTTTCGATTGCCATTCATTTCAACCATACAAAACTTTTAAGCTTTGACCTCCTCGAAGTTTGAGTGTTGACCCTAGTCGTGTTTGCCAAACGTTCTCCACTGCGCCAGAGCTTTCTTTGCAATGCATTTGTCCACCTCCCCGTCATCGCATGTTGTCTTAAACCTCACTTCCTTCACGGTATGGTTTGCAGCTCTTTTCTGTGGGGTGTCCGGTGATTAATGTTATTTGATAGGTGCATGCGTGTTGAGCTGTGCGCTAGGATGTACTCATGGAGTAGCAAGCACGACAGTCTGCAGGCGTGTGCACATGGTTTTCCCTGTGGTAATGTTGCATTTTGTTCTTTCGATAAAATCTTGTTGGTGCAGCTGTCAGGATAACAGGTTGGATGTTTTCCACCCATACGCCCTACACTCTGTTTCACCATAACTGCGAGCCAAATGAATTACAAGAGCGAGCATCATGTTTTGAAAAGGCTTACTATGCACGTATGCTTGTGAGGTGAAAGCGTCCTTGAAGGCAACATGCTTGTGCTTACTGCATTGCCTTTGCTCTCTCTTATGGTGAAACACTAGAAATAATAAAGTCATGCATTTGTGACCCGTCAAGCAGTTCTTACAAGTTTTGCATTTTGGTAGCTTGCATGTGCATTGGCTAGTTATATTTTCTGATAGACTACATGCAGCATTGTTCTATCTAGTGGTTAATCACTGAGACAACAGGCAATTCGCCTTTATAATGGTGACATAAATACACCTGTCAAGCGCAGTAACACTCGGCGTTATCTTCTTTGCGGTACATTGCCAAGGTGAGCATGTAGTTTCCGCGGTGCTCCAACACTGGCGCAGCTACTTGCACGAGCGCGGCTTTGTTTGGCAACTCCTTCCCACGAAAGCATGTGCTAACAAGATGCGAGACAAAGTTTCACATTCTCGCAGCATTGCAAGGCTGCAGCGTTCCTGAAGCTACAGTAACCTTGACAACATAGCACAAAATAGTGGACACCAAATCTACATGCAGGTCCCCTTAAAAAATTTTCTTTGTCTGGATTTGAAGGTGTTTTTTGCCTGCCTAGAAGTTGATACAAAGAAGCCATTTTCTCCCTCTGCTTGACCAGAAGGATGACAGAGAGGGTGCCAATTCCGTTTGTTTTTGTGAAAGGTACATTGCCAACAGGATTGTTTTAAGGTAATGGTGAAGGTAGGGTAACGTAACTACGAGCCTGCTCCAGCAAGCCTGGCTATGAGGCAAAGTGCCGGCCCACGGACATTCGGTTGGTGGGTTAGAATCCTGACCAGGGTGCCCGCATTCTGACGGAGGCCCAGTGTGGCGATGGCACCCTGTGACTGGCATTTCGGTTGATTCCTAGGTGCTTGAAATCGATTCTCAGTCCTTCGCTGGGGCATGTCAGATGCTCTTCATTGATTTGGCACGAAGAACCCCCAAACTTAATTTAGCCCGTTCCAGCAGTAACGTTGCTGCAAAATATCGAATTGATTCAAAAGTGGCAATTTGTGGCTCCCTTTATTTCCTCGTTGTTTCCCATCCCACGTGTAATTCCTTCTGAAGGGGGTTTTCAGGAACTGAAGTGAAGCCGGGTCCCACGCATCGCCTAATCCAAATGCCGTTCTCTTCGTGCCGCAGTGGGTCCCGTGGATCGTCCGCGGTGAAGCCCACCCATGTCCGGGGCGTCCGCGGAGCACAGCGGTCCGCGGCGGCGGACATGCTGAGGCCCTCCCCGAAGCCCAGGGACGTGGCCGCCTCTCCGCCGCACGACAGCCCCGAGGCGTCCGGCGAGCCCCTGGCTGCAGCGCCCCCCACGAGCCGCTGCTGCAACTGCTCCGGCTCGCCGTCGGCCGCCACGGCGGGGCGCCACCCAACCCCCCGGCGGGAGGCGTCGACCCCCGGTGCGCTGCCACGGCAGCAGGGCTCGCAGCCACCGTACCAGCGGCGCAGGATAGTGGGCGGCATAGATGGCACGTCGCCGTCGACACGGGAGCGCCGGCCCGGTGCGGGCCCAAGGACCCGCGCCGGCGCGGGTGGCGCCGGCCCCTTCCGCTACGTGCCCCTGACGTCGCAGCAGCAGCGTCGAGGTGCTGCGGCGACGACTCCGCCGCCGACGGGGATACCGGCGCCGAACAACAACCACCACCAGCAACAGCGTGCGGTGCAGCGCGAGCTGGAGAACGGGGGCTTTCAGGGTTTCCAGGGGATCTACACCGGGGCGTCGGAGCAGCCGTCGTCGCCGCGGACAGACCGGACTAGTCCGCTGCTCTTGGTGGTGCGTGACGGGGGTGCGGTGGTGCTGGAGAAGGGGCAGCCCTCCTCTCCCGCCACGGCGGGGGAGGAGGGGGTGGTGGCGGCGAGTGCAGTGACGACGACAGCTGTGGCGAGTGCGGCGGAGCGGGCTGCTGCGTCGCTGACGGCAGAGGAGGACGTGCAGGCGCGGGACACATCGCCCGACGGCCGCTTTCTCAAGTTCGAGGAGGAGATTGGCCGTGGGTCGTTCAAGACGGTGTACAAGGGACTGGACACGGCGACGGGCGTGGCGGTTGCATGGTGCGAGCTCCAGGTGGGTGGTGTCCCTTTTTTTAGCAGTACGCAAAAAATGGCAGAGCACAAATGCCGCATTTATTTTCCCTTCTCCGCCGACTTTCTATTACCTCGCGTAGATGTTCTCAAGGTGGTCTCGAGGAGAAACGGGTTTAATCTATGCCAAACTGATGCACATGCATCCTACTTACTATCACACAAGCCGCACCAACGTGAAAATACTTGCTCCGTTGTCCGATGCACGTTTTTCACGCACGCTGGACTGTCCACCATCAGCCGATAGTATTGTCACTTTCTCAACTTCCTTCGTTTGGAAGAAGGGGGGGGGGGGTAGCAACAGTCAGAATATTGGAATTCTTACATTTTTCATTGGCAGAGAAGGTCACAAGCTCCAAAAAAATGATACAAGGATGGGCCGACAATGGCTCTGCATGTTACTCAGAGCGCACACGCTATTCAAAATATATGCACACTATGCAGTGTTTGCATGCATGTTTCCAATTGACAGGGTTACCACCCGGGCACCACTTAGCACTGCCTTGGTAACATCAAAAAGGGGAGACCTTTACACCATTTTTCTTCACAGGCAGAACTTGTACAGTAAAGGCCCGTTCACACTCTTGCGACTGCTTGCGACTTCTTAAACCTGGGTTCCTTAAAACTTCTTAAACCAGAGAACACACTGGCGCCATCTATTGGGAAGCAGTGTAAACTCGGCGGTCCGGCATATTTTTTTTATATCTCGCGCAATATCCTTTCTTTTTTGGCTCGAAAAGCTTTTGTCAATGTTATAAACGAGCCTTTCTATGGGTATTACGCACATTTGACCTCGGAAATCCCGCAAAACCTTCGCTTTTGTGAAATGCAGTTCTAGGGTCACCACATAGATGGCGCCACAATGTCAGTGTGTTCCCTCATTCTAGAAACATTTAAGAAGTTGTAAGAGATCTCGCCTCTCTCAGTCGTACTCGGTCGCAAGAGTGTGAACGGGCCTTAACTCTAGCAGTCTGTGCACTCTTGCGGTTGCTGTGTGCTTGAGGGCAATGCATGCGTAGGTGTCTGCGCTTTCGTGCCCAATGTTGCGAGCAAAAGTGTGCGAGAGCTTGTATTTCGGAAGGTGATGGGGAACTTGCACTTCTCTTTCGGGAGAAACGTGTAAATTAGTTGCTCGAGTTGCCAGTGGGCTTGCCTCATTTAGGTGCAGATGAGAAGTTTGGCGTTCATGCCTGATAAGGTCGCCGTCCCCTTCGTTCTTGGATCTATTGGTTGACGAAGCTTCACGGAAGAGCGGCGTTCAAAACTGTTCTTCTCTGTTGCCTGCATGTGAGCAGGTACGGAGGGATGGCATTTCTGGCGCTACCAGCGTTAACACCTCCACGGGCAACGAAGGAAAACCGTTTTTGGAATGACGCTTATTTTGTGCAAACTTTATGTTAACCATAAAACCCGTAATAAAATCACTTTCCACCGCAGGCGCTGTGCATTTAGCGTTTCACCTGCTTCCAGCGCTTCTGTTTGAAGGGCGACCTCATAGTGTTGCAATCGCCACTGAGCGCACATGCCACGAAAAGGCGCCAGGCTTTCTAGGAAGCTTGCTGACTAACTTTAATCTAGTAACATTTGCTGTGCCTTCTTGTTTAATCCTTTTCGAGTCCACGTTGACTAGCTTTGTTTTGTCGTAAAAAGACTTAAGAGTCCTCTGAGTACACATAGAACGTCAAGTCGAGCTATAGAAGACCACTGTAGTGTTGTTTTAGGCTTCACTAAAACATAGCCAATCTTGAGAATTCGCATTGCTACTTTGAAATGATTGTTCCTACCCTCATCCCTACATAGAATGTCGAACGAGTGAGTTGGGGTAAATTCTTCTAGGTCATAATGTAACCTTGGCCCGGCAATATCGCCGTTTTCGGCATGATACATAATGTTTTTGATGATCGCATGATGTTTATATCATTATAGCACTCATGGCATTGCATTTATTAGACTGATGATGCCAATCCCGGTGCAATGTCTTTATAGTAATTTTGTTGCGTGTCACGCTGAAAGTCTGAGCATGTGCGCTTAAAGGGAAGATGGGGCACTTCTACATTTAAGAAAAAACGCTTGAATTGCGTTCATTTGACCTTCAGAATAACAGATATCACAATTATATTTCAATGCGACGCGCCGGAGAGGCATAAGAGCAATTTGAAAATAGGGCTGAAGCCCCGCCTCCCTAGCCTTGGCAAGCCAAAAGATCCGTCGATGACGTCACGGACAGCGACTGTCTTTCGCGTTTTTCTCGCGTTTAACAATACTTGCGCGGCAAATGGTTTTGATATTCGGGTTCACGAGGTAAGAATACACTAGAATTCACTTCTAACTCATTTTTTTCAAGAAGCTCCGTAGCTTCCCTTTAACGACACCCCCGTGTTGCCAACACATTGTTTTCCCGTACTGTGCTTTGCAGCTACGCGGCACATTGAGTACCGTAGCCATGTCACAGCACCCCACCTTTGGTTAGTTGGTTGGTCTGAAGCCGACATTGACATTTGGTACACTTGAAGAGTCTAGTGTGCTGTAATAGCACTTTCAGGCGACAAACTTTCTGTTCACTGGGATTTTGTGGGCTTTATGCAGTATATGGGGAGGCCTTCCTTAGCGCGGTAGTTTCGTAAATATGTAATCTGCAGCCTGTGTTACAGCTTTGCAGTAGCCTTTTCTTCACACTACCTGCTCCCCTGTACTGCGGAAATTTTCGGTAAAGCTGGAAGAGTTTCTGGCGAACGACTCAAAAGCCGGGTTGGGCCCGTCTTTCGTCTGCTCACTTTGTTTGAGTGGTGATTGATGCGTGGCGGCTAATTTTGCGCTTTCGCTATTGCAGTCGCGACACTGTAGGGGTGCAGTCGGAGGCATTTCTTTAAGGTAACGCTCGGTCTTGTGGGCTTACAGGCAACTCGAGTAGGCCGGTAGGCGTAGAGCCACCCAACAAAGTGGTAGACAGGAGTGCAAACGTGTACTATAGACACCTGAATGGCGACAAGGACACTCCAGATACAAACGACGGAAGCTCTTTCTCCCTCCTCCCCTAAAAAAAAAAAAAAAAAACTCTCCGTCCGGTGGAGGCTAATGAGCGTGCTCCGAGAAATGTTGGAACGGGCGAGCGCGTCGGTTCTTGACGTTCTTCGCTTTTGTCGTTGTTTGGCGTGCGTTCCAGCGTTGTCAGTCTGTTTTTGTGTGCGCTGGGGGCGGCGGAGGGCAGGCGCGATCAGTCGTGCGCGACGCACCTCTGACGTCTGTACGCCATTGATTGGCACTCTTTTCTCGGCGAGCCGGGGCTTGTGGCTCGAGGTGTTGATTAGGGGACGGCTTCAAGTTTGTGCAAACAAAAGCAAGGGCTGTTTTTCTTCCTTTATTTTTTTATTTTGTCACCTTCGTCATTGGCAGAAAGGAGAGGAATTAATTGACTTGCTTAGATTTTAACTTCAGTGCTGTGTGGTAATAGCCGTAGTTTGTTTCAGCGTAGCTTGGAAAAGGACGAAAGCTATGGGCTCCCGTGAGCCAACCTGAGTGGCAGTGAAGCGTGTGACAACTCTGCACGGGATGTATGTCACCACGTGACTTGCCTCAGCACTCTAATATTGACTCGTATTGCCCATTGTGTTCGTCCTTTGCCCAGTCGGGCCGAAACTGAGTATAATAAGGTGTGGGGGTGTGAACGACAGGATACAGATGACTTTAACAAGCTAAATGCATGGAGTTCATATAATATAGTCTTTTTGTTTGTAGTACTTATTACCACCACCAGGGGTGAAATGTTATGTACTACCGCCAGAAGGAGCCAACTAGCATGTAACGCAGGTTGGGCTGTAAGAGGTTAATTTTTATTTTGTATTACACATGTATGTATAACGTACATGCGTAATATTTATATGTACAGGGATATGGATATGTACAGGGAAATTTAAAACACTGGCTAGGTGGCACAAGCCACCACCCAATTCAAATGGTTCAGCCATGTCATCTACCTCATTTTCCTAGAACACATCCCCCTTGGACGTTGGTCTCGAGTAGTAATGATAGGGACGCTCGCACAGAAGTTCACTTGCTGCTGTCCAGTTGCGGTAACATAAGCGTCGTAGGCGCTCATCGGTTTTAGCATCGTGTCTTCATCTTGAATGGGGTCAGGTTGGTTCGGAGAAGGGCAACACTGTGCAATGGAGACAGCACTGGCACATTTCTACTTGTGACTGTGCTGCCCTGCAGAGATCAGTGATCAGCTTGCCTTGTCCAGCACACCTGATCTGATGGATCTGCGTGCACCACAGAGTGCCGTCCCATGCAGGAGCCAATCATTGCCATGTATGGTGCAAACACTGTGCTCACCATTGTAAATGTAATCAGTTGTTTTTGCGGTGTGTTTCTGCTGGCGAACATTAGAATTGGCAGATATGGTGAAAATCAAATTCCTGCATGCTGGCAAGCGAACATTTGTGTCAGTTAAACAACTCTTGTTCATTGAGAATTGCCGGGCGATTTCTGGTCACTTATGTAAGGAATGCCATTCATAGGGAATTATTTTTCTTTACGGCACAGATGCTTATTTTCACATAGCACATGACGGTTGCCACAGTCTTGTCACGTTTTTGTTCTCAAACTATACTCCGTTTCACCTTACGTCCGAGCGGAGGCGGTGCTACGAGCCATCAGAGCTAATCCAAGGCCATGTGAGTGTCATGTGACCTTGGAGAGGGTGGGGCGCAGCGATGCTTGAAGGCATATCACGGGCGTGATTGGCTAGGATATAGCTCCTAGCGTCCGTTGCATCCGTACGTAAGGTGAAACGGAGTATAGCACGATTACGTTTGTCGTTAAGTTGTATATCTTGTTTTTGCAGTCACGTCGGTATGGTTCCAATCGAACTGCGTTGCAGTTTCTTATCACACAACGGGTGCCATCGTGGTTGTAACAAGAGGAGGGCGAGCATTGTTTTTGTCATTGGGAAAGGAGGAAGGGGAAAGCCTTTTGTGAGCGCGA